GCTCAGTATTTTTACTTTTCTGAAACACAATTAATGATGTGAATATTTTTTTCCTTTTTTCCAGTACCGACAAAACTTGTTCAGTACTTGGTGTCAACATTTGCAACACGCAAATCTACAATTCAGACCTGACATAGCAAGGACAGAGTATCTTTCAAATCCTGATGAACGTCTAAGATGGCAGGCCAATGCTTTACCCACAGATGATCTTTGCACGGAGAATGCAATCATGTTGAAACGGTTTAACAGATATCCATTGATCATCGATCCATCCGGACAAGCGACAGAGTTTATATTGAACGAATTTAAAGACCGAAAGATTACGAAAACGAGCTTCTTAGACGACTCGTTTAGGAAGAACCTGGAGAGTGCTTTGCGGTTTGGTAATCCGTTATTGGTACAAGACGTGGAAAATTATGACCCAATATTGAATCCTGTTTTGAACAGAGAATTGAGGAGAACAGGTGGACGCGTGTTAATCACTCTTGGAGATCAGGATATCGATCTTTCACCGTCTTTTGTAATCTTCTTGTCCACCAGAGATCCAACGGTAGAATTCCCGCCAGATATCTGCTCTCGCGTTACCTTCGTAAATTTCACCGTTACCAGGAGTTCTCTGCAAAGTCAATGTTTAAATCAAGTCTTAAAAGCCGAACGGCCGGATATTGACGAGAAGAGATCTGATCTGTTGAAGCTGCAAGGCGAATTCCACTTGAGATTGAGACAACTCGAGAAATCTTTGCTGCAAGCATTAAACGATGCCAAGGGAAAGATCCTCGACGATGATTCTGTGATAACTACGCTTGAAACTTTGAAACAGGAAGCAGCGGATATTAGTAAGAAGGTCGAAGAGACGGATAAAGTTATAGCAGAGATTGAAACGGTCTCTCAACAATATATGCCTTTGTCTCAAGCTTGTTCGAATATATATTTCACAATGGATAGTCTGAATCAAGTACACTTCTTGTACCAGTATTCTTTGAAAATGTTCTTGGACGTTTTCACCTCCGTTTTGTCTCAAAATCCAAGGCTAACGAATATAACGGAACACACGCAGAGACTTTCAGTTATCACCAGCGATTTGTTCTCTGCTTGTTACGAACGCGTTGCTCGTGGAATGTTGCACACCGATAGATTAACGTTTGCATTATTACTATGCAGGATACACCTGAAGGGTATCGCCACGGAATCCACTTACGACAGTGAATTTACATTCTTCTTGCGAGGAAAGGAAGGCGTGCTAAACATTCGTGGACCTATCGCTCCTAATTTAAGCTCCGAACAACAAGAAGCCATGATGCGATTAAGCCTTAGACTACCAGCTTTCAAGAAGCTAGCCGAAAAGGTTCAAGAAAATACAGAATTCAACTCGTGGCTGCAATCACCTACTCCTGAGACGTGTGTGCCAAAACTTTGGGACGAAGAGAAACCGTTGACGCCAACAGGAACAGCCATGCATCAGTTGCTGATCATTCAAGCATTCAGACCGGATCGCGTGATAGCTGCTGCTACGTTAGTCGTTACTTCCGCCTTGGGAGAGACCTTCATGGCTGCTGCAGAATCAGAACTTGACTTTGCTTCTGTCGTTGAGAACGAATTGAAATCCGCTGTGCCCGCTTTACTTTGCTCCGTGCCTGGCTTCGATGCTTCCGGCCGGGTCGATGATCTGGCAGCCGAGTCAGGCAAACAAATAGCCAGCATTGCGATAGGGTCCGCAGAAGGATTCAATCAAGCCGATAGAGCGATAAACATGGCTGTTAAAGCTGGCAGATGGGTATTACTGAAGAACGTGCATTTAGCACCGCAATGGTTGGTGCAACTTGAAAAGAAATTACACAGTTTACAACCGCATGCTAGCTTCAGACTGTTTCTAACCATGGAGATCAATCCAAAGGTACCGGTAAATCTACTTAGAGCTGGTAGAATATTCGTCTTCGAACCACCTCCTGGAATCCGAGCGAATTTATTGCGAACGTTCAGTACCGTGCCTGCATCGCGTATGATGAAGGCACCCAATGAAAGAGCCAGACTTTACTTCCTTTTGGCCTGGTTCCACGCTATTGTTCAAGAACGTCTTCGTTATGCACCTTTGGGATGGGCGAAACATTACGAGTTCAATGAAAGCGATTTAAGAGTAGCTTGCGACACTCTGGATACATGGATAGAGACTACTGCTATGGGCAGAACTAATCTACCCCCTGAGAAAGTGCCTTGGGATGCCTTGGTCACTCTGCTTTCTCAATGTATATACGGTGGCAAGATTGACAACGATTTCGATCAACGTCTGTTAGCATCGTTCCTTCGTAAACTCTTCACTCCACGATCTTTCGAAGCCGATTTTGCACTGGTCGCTAATATCGACGGTTTGCAAGCAAATCAAAGACACATCACCATGCCGGACGGTACCAGACGTGATCATTTCCTCAAGTGGATCGAGTCACTGACCGATAGACAGACACCTTCCTGGCTTGGTCTTCCAAACAACGCGGAGAAAGTTTTATTAACAACCAGGGGAACGGATCTGGTGTCGAAGTTGCTCAAGATGCAGCAACTAGAGGACGAGGACGAATTGGCGTACTCTAACGAAGAATCTTTGGATACACCTAGAGAAGCAGAGGCTGATGGTCGACCGTCTTGGATGAGAACGTTACATAATTCAGCCTCGACGTGGTTACAGTTACTTCCAAAGAATCTAGCAACACTTAAGAGAACTGTGGAGAACATCAAGGATCCGCTATACAGATACTTTGAAAGGGAAGTTAACAGCGGTGCTAAATTACTGCAGGATGTAATTCATGATTTGGAAGATGTTGTTTTAATTTGTCAGGTATTCTATCAGTTAATTTACTTTCTGTTATTTGTAACACAAATATTATTATAAAATATGAACCGTTTATTTCTTGTTACAGGGTAAGAAGAAACAAACCAATTATCATAGAATCATGTTATCAGAGTTGGTGAAAGGTATTCTACCGGGTGGTTGGAGACGGTATACTGTACCAAGAGGATGTACCGTCATTCAATGGATAACAGATTTTAGCCACAGAGTATCGCAGTTGCAAGAAGTATCACGATTAGTATCTCAAGGAGGGGCTAAAGAAATCAAAGTTCGTCTGAAAAATCTCTTCGTTTATTTTTATTATTATTGCTTGTTCATCTACAACATAATACATGTCGTTTTCAGAGTTTCCCTGTTTGGCTTGGTGGATTGTTAAATCCTGAAGCATACGTCACGGCGACGAGACAATGTATAGCACAAGCTAACAGTTGGTCGCTCGAGGAACTTCAGCTGGATGTAACAATAGGAGACGGTGATAACATTGCAACGGACGATTGTTCGTTTGCTGTGACTGGTCTGAAATTACAAGGAGCACAGTGTAAGGATAATCAGCTGTATCTGACTTCGACCATAATGACCGATTTACCAGTTACCATGTTGAGGTGGATACGGTCTACCAGCGATGAAGTACGAAAAGGCAAATTGTCTTTACCCGTTTACCTAAACAGCACGCGTACCGAATTACTATTTACCGTTGATTTAAATATTGCTCCTAGTCAAGATCCTCACAGTTTTTACGAAAGGGGAGTCGCTGTTCTTACATCTACCGCTTTGAATTAATATTTTACGAATTAGCTAATTATACCGTCTTCGAAAGCAAGTCTTTTGAGCGCAATTTAACGTATAACGATATAAAATTACTTTGAAACAACTTAATATTGATAGAATCCACGGGTGGGCAAACGAATTTCTGATAGATAAGTACTTCATCTTTTCATAGTGTAAAGTTTCTTGGAGATATTTATTTATCTATTCATTTTTAATTATTTATGAAGCAACATTTTCAGGCATCCTGAACTTCGTTTAGCTAGACTAGTATCTTTTTCTTTTTAACGCTTTCAGTCGTGTAGTCGTTTGCCCGTGTCTCTTAACGTACTAAACAAATATATGATAAAGAAAATTATTTAATGCTTCAAATGGATTCTTTCTGCACAGCATTTTCTTCGTGCAATGAAATGAATTATTCTATTCTATGATTAGCATAATTGAAAATGATGCAAGACATCTGTTTAAAAGTCGATGTTTCGATTACGAGATTGTAACATATATAGTTTATTTAGTTTTGTATACGTTCAAAATTGAAACATTGCTTTCTGTAACAAAGTTGCATTACGTTTGCTTACGTGTAAGTACTAAAGTACTATAGAATTTACGTTACTTGAATGGCATCTAATAATGAAAGAAAGAAACTTATTACGCGCTATATAGGCATTACTAAAAAAAAAAAAAATATAAAGGGAAAAATCATTTTAAATGCTCCGTACTTTTTTTTGTACTTTGTTTTTGCGACCAATAAAAAAAAAAGTAGTAACATATATTTCTGTAACTGTGCGATATTAAATATAATATTAATATTTAAAAGGTTTGAAGGATTTATTCTTATTTGAGTGATAGTCTGCATATCGACATGGCATTTGGGGTGTTAGGGACCCCGAAGCACCAGTGACACTGTGGGCATCGACCTATCATCTTGGGGTATTAGGGACCCCGAAGTATCGGTACTGTATACCGACATTATGGCATCCGGGGTATCAGGGACCCCGATGCATCAGTAGCGCTCTCTGTATACCAATCTAATATCATCTTGGGGTTTTAGGGACCCCGAAGAGCTGGTGGCGCTCTCTGGATACCAACTACCATCTTGGGGTGCTAGAGACCCCGAAATACCGGTGATACTCTACATATCGACATTATGGCGTCAGGGACAACGAACAACCGCTGATTCTGTATACCAACATCATCCTGAGGTAACCTCTGTAAGTAACTTTTGACTCCGACTATTTATTGAAATCAGGTGTTATAAAAGTAATGGAGAAATTTAAAAAAGAACATAAAAACTTTATTATGGTCCATAATATCAGGTATAGTAGTTACATTTATGAAATGTTATTAGAATATTTGTGACGCTATATAACTACGTGGTCATGTAAATAACAATGCATTTTTTACATTTTTTTTGTTGTTCGATCGTAATTCAACGTTTAATCATATACTACATATAGATTATAAAACACACAATTCAGTGTCAATCATTTCACTTATTCGCGATGGTTTTCCATTCCGTCTATCGAAAAGTAAAATATCGGCTCTGATGAACTTGGACGGACTATACAGTTGTAGCATAAAATGATCATTACGATCAATAACGGGAATATTTAACAAGCAAATTTCTCTTAAAATCATTCGTTAAAACACTATATATACAATAAGCACTTCGTCGTGGGGAGACGAAACCGAGTTTATCCATAGAAAATCTTACCGCTTATCATTACTTGGTATTGGTTTGCGCGTTAGTTAATCGTCGCGATAAATAAAACGATGATATTATGCAATTATTTGTCAGCTGTGACGAGATTAAAAAAAAAAAATACTGAATTCAGTCTAAAAAGAAGGGTAAAATTACATTCTCGGTTATTGATGAGCGGACACATCATCGGTAATCCATCAATCTTTCGCGATAAATACATTTCCACGATTTGACGTTAGATTACAAAACAAAAGTCAGCAACGAAAATTTCCTCGAAGAATGAGTAATCGATAACGCGGGTGGATAAGAGAAATACATAAATCACCGATGCAATAACGTAACAAGAATTAAGCAACCGTCGGTTGTTCCTGGTAAACGAACTTCGAACGAAAGAACATAAGTCTATATCACAGAAACGGAATCATCCGTTTCGCGGGCAGTCTTTTTATCGTCGCTATTATCGTTAGCCTGTTCATTGGAGACTAGAGATACGTCCTTCGGAAGGACCAAGGATTCTTCGCCGATCGGCGCTGCAGCCTCGACTAGATTCTCAACAGACGCTGCCGCCGTCGGTTCGTCGTGGCAGAAACTTCTACGTAGGGACTGTTGAGTCCTCGTTGTTCCTCTTCTAATGCTACTTCGAAGTAAATTCGCAACATCCACTGCGGTTAGGTTCGAACTGCTCGACGAAGTGGTACACGGTCGTCGAACTCTTTCCAAGGTCGAATGAGCTCTCTCTAACGAACAGCCAACCATATTAATTCTGGTTGTTCTGTCGATCGTGTTAGGTCGATGTCTCTCGGTAGCATTGTTTCGAACGTTCCCGTTGTTCTCGGTTCTCGACTCGGACACGTGAATCGTCACGTCCTGAGTTTGTCTGCCTTGATTCATTTCCACCAGGACGGTCGCGTAATCGGGTGGCGGAGGTTGTAAGGCCGGTCTTTGTCTCGGAGCGCTACTCTCGCCGAGTACGTTCGCTATTCGTCTCACGCTTCTTCGAAAACTTTGACGCAACATCTTCGCTATCCTCGCGCCCGTTGCCGTTGTATAACTCGGAGGAGGCGTATATTTAGGCGGTGGATCCTCGAACGGTACTTCCGTGCTGGTTGGCACGATCCCATTACCGTGGATGCTGGTACCCGTATCGTTTCCAATATGCGTTTGCGTATCCCTTGGGTCATCCGGTTCCAAGGACGGTCGATACAGCAACTGAATTCTCTGTAAAAATTAACGCCACCAGCTATGAACAAGGAAAATAAATGTACCGTTTGATGTTCCCTTTACGAGAAACGATTAACTTGAAATACGTGCGATGGGTTAAAAGTGAAAACTTACGCCGTTACACTGCTCGCAGTGATTTACATTAACTTCCGTTTGATTGTTCTAACGTTAGCATAAAAATAGGATAGAAAAATAGTTGTTAGGTTTGTATCAACATGTTAGAGCAACTTAAGAATACAAAACCTTGCTAATTGAAATTATCGTTAGGATCTAATTCGTACTTCAAATTTATCAAAACTCACTCGGACCCTTACATCAAATATATCGGGTGGACCGTTGTTCAGGTATCGACAGGTTTGGATTATAGCCACCACTGGTATCGTTAGAATTGGTATTAGTTGAATAGCAGCCCCAAGTTGTCTCGTCCATATCGCCCAATATTCTCTGGCTGAACGACGATAAGAATAAAGTTCTCGGAATCCAGCATTCTTGAATACCGTAATGCTAAGTACCTGCATTAATTGTTAAAATCAGCATCGTTACGATTGTCTATAATAAATCTGATGATACAAACCATAAGAATAACAGGCAGCACAACGTTCCACGTGAACGATAAGAGAGGACCAGCCCAGTGTCTGAGACATCGACCAGTTGGTGGAAATAATTCAGCAACTACAGCTTCACCGCTATGTGGACGACCACGAACCGCAAATACAGCACCGACTTGCACCAAGTACAAAATCATGATCCACCAAGTTCCACCAATTGTATAATCAAGATAATAAACGACGTGTATCCCCAACTGTGGAACAAAACAGACAAGAAAATCTATGAAACTACAGTTCTGGTTTCATTCTGGTTATACGTATATAATTACTTCAACAATAATTTTGCTAAGTCGCTTCAATTGCTATAATTACTATTCAATTACTATGATTAATTCATTGAACAAGAGACGGAGTAGAAGCACTCGTTTGTATATCTCTTATTTGAATATCCAAAAATAAGGCGTCATCTTTAACGTATCCAGAATATCGAGTGAGAGTCGTGTGAGGAATAAACATGTAAAATCCAGACTCTCTGGTTATGTCTGTAGAATTTCCTTTATCCTGTCCTACAGCTTTCACAATTTTCTTCACGTCATTGGCTGGATCCTCTTGGTTTCTCAATGCAACTGTAGCTTTAAGAACGCAGGGCCAGTCCAATAATGGATCCCATTTTCCATTTTCAACGCGTAGACACCCAATAATATGACGATCCTTCCATTGCCCTATACCGTTTAAAAATAATTTCATTCTCAAGGTATATCCATATTCTTTGTTTAAGAATTTCGAGCTATAAATCGCGCAGTCGTTCTCCTTTGCATCGGTCATTTTCTCTTTATAGCGATCGATCCTCCATAGAAGTCGACCATTAGTCGGATATTGATCAAAGCATTCGTGTTCGCATCGACATTCAACAGTTGGTTCTATCAGTTTGGCCTTTGAATTTTCATCGATCAGTTCTTCTAAGTACTTCAAGTTTTCCTTCATCTGAAATTTCAATCCTTTAACGATACTCTTTTGACCAGATACCACCGTCGATTGCTTTTGTAATTCCTCCTCCAAAGTATCAAGTTTCTCTGTGATAAGTTTCTGTTGTGCCGTTAATTCTGTCGAATTCTTACACCTCATTTCCAGTTCTAACTTGAGATCATGAATCAATTCTTGCTGCTCCTGCCACATTTTCGTTACATTCGTGCTTTCTTCGGTGAGAAAGCTCTTCAGATGTTTCAATTCTAAACACCAGTTCCCGAGAACATCCTCGTGCTTATTCTGCTCGTCGGTTAATTCTTGGTGCAGAAGCTTTAACTGTTCAGTGATACGCTGAAAACTTAAGCTAGTTCGTTGCTCCATATTGTCCCGAGTTCGCTCCAAGTTATTTAATCTTTGATTCAGAGTCGTATCGTGTCGTTGAGATTCTTCCGTCACTCGCGTAATTTGTAATCGCAACGCGTCGATAGACACCTGTTGACCATGCAACAATTTGAAACACTGAGACATATTATCTTGGAGATTCTTACGTTCCTTCTCTTCGTTGCTAACTGCGGTTCGAAGAAGGGTCAGCGCAGAGAATATTTTGTTTCTCCATAAAGAATCTTGATGTTCTCTTGGCAAAGTGTTCGTTTTCGCAGCATCTTTGTAGCAGAATCTTAGATGTTCATCCATATTCTTTCGTGGCACGTAAACACCACATTTCTGTGGGCATTCTTCTAAAACTAATCCGCAATGTTTCACGTGATCGAACAGGTATTTCTCTTCGAGAAATTCATTACAAAAGTAGCAGGGTACGCTTCGGCCTACCACGGAATTCACGCGATTACTCATCCTCGGGAATCGACACACAACGACTCTGGCGATACTGACGAAACGTTTAATCAAGTCAGTATACCGGGCTCTGATAATCGTTATCTGAACAAATAGAACATCGTGAAGCCTATCTGATAAGAAGAGACCAGTTTTTAAATCCTATGAGCAAACAAGCGTGCCCGTTATCTACCTGCATTGAAATTCACTCATGTATTTCTCTGGAATGATTCACTCAGAATTTTTCATTCGAAAAACGGTACATTTAGCTGTATAAGAATATTTATTTGTATTTACCTCTGTGGCCATCGGCAAACCCAAGATGTAAGCGCAAGCACAGCTGAAAAACGTGATGGTAGTTTCCCATAGCTTCATCATTTTTGCGTTGATAGCCATGATACCAGTTATCACGCAATGCCATATCGCTAGCTGTAAATTAAACATCAGATATTACGTTTTTTCTTTAACTTCTCTAACACTCTGTATATATGACGCGTATACCTGTTGAGCTATTCCAAAGAGAATAAGGATAAAATAGAAAAGGACTGCCCAAAAAGGCGACACCTGCTCCGTGCCAAGTAACGCTAGTGTCGCTGGAAATAATTCGGTGGAAAGTCTTAACGCTTGGTAACCAGATTCCGTTGTAAAATCCGCGCCAGGACGAGTTACGCGTTCCCCAACGATGAACGAGGCGTGGGTCATAAATCTCTCCGGTGTACTACTGTACCCTGGTGGTGCTGGTTGGTTCACTGGTCTCATAAACACGTACGACGATATTCTTTCTAAAGTTGAAATATTTTTTACTTAAATGAGACAAGATACGATGAATCGCGTTAAAAGTATGCCACTTACCGAACGAACTTGGTATGTAAATGTAACCGTAATGCTTGAGAATTTGTACACAAGTATTAGCTAGGAAAGCCGCGAGAAGTAGAACCACGATGGTTAGTACTATCACGAGGCTCGTGTCCCGTTGTAGTAAATGTTTGTGCTTGTTATGAGCAGCTATCTAGAAAAGCAATATTCACCGGTAAGTTTTCCATTAGCGAAATATATGTTTACAGAGTCTGTTCGTAATTACCTGCATGGCAGCTGCACCGAGCAATCCCCAGGTGAGAAAAACCTCGATGGATGCTGCTACCCATGATTTTCCATTAATGAAAAACTCGGCCCAGACGGTGGCGGGAAAGAGTTGATGTATAGAACCCGGAGGTGTGAGACCAAGTAGTTTTGTACAAAGAACCAAAGTACCAAACACAGGTACCAGTGTAAAAACGTATACTACTTTACCATACGATCTTAAACCTGAAATAATTATACAGCTTCGTTATCCTATCGTCACTCGGTTGAAATGTACAAACAGTTTTATCAATTTTTCGATACCTTTACTTAACGATACAAACACGATCATCCATACAACGGCTAAATTAAAAGCGACCTGAAATTTTAACGTTACGACACCGGTGTCCGATTCGTTTAATTGATGCCTTTGTAAAACAACTCCGCTGAAGTAATCCGGTACTGTTTCATAAAGTTTGTGCAAGTTGCTGTTATTCTGTGCAGGTTTGTCTTCTCTGTAGAAAGAAAACGGTTCTGCCCATCGGTACTTGTCCTGTTTCGTTATAAACGAATCCCTGTGAACATAAATCATTTGCATCAAACGCTTTTTCGATAGTTAATCGTTTGGTAGAAAAAGATAGGAATGTATACCTAAAGTACACGAACATCCAGGACACACCAATGATACTATAAATACCAATAAAGGCTTGTGCAATTAAGAGAGCTATACCAACACCCTGAAACAAGGGCGAAATTCTCCACATATCCACGGATCCAGCCGCTAATCTTTGCCCGAGACAAACGTGTAATGTAAGAAGCGGAATGCCCAATACCAAGGACAAAATCAAAAATTGTACAATGAAGTTTGCTGAAAGAAGAGATAATTGGTAATTGTCAGATAATTGGTAATATTATTTTTAGGAGATATATAAAAATGTTTGTGTCCTCACCTCCGAATTGTATGCTAAGTATAGAGAATCTACTTATATTAAAAAGACCAAGGGTGCAACTGAGACACGCCAAGGCTGGACTAAGAGCATGCGGCCACTTCCCCAATGGATTTGCATCCTCATCCTCGTCCTCTCCTCGGTCCTCGTCTCTGTCGACGTCTCTTTGCCTTTCGCATATCCTGCAGATAAATGGTAAGTGCTTCTATTACATTTTCAATTTCAAAGAAATCGTAGATCTAACATAAAGACCGAATACGAAGTTAAACACAGCAACGCGTAGCTATCGATTCCCGATAAGAGCGCGTAAAATAATCATGCATGAGGTCGTATCGATTTGTCGTAAAAACTGGGTCGAACGTAATTGTATCGTATTTGTTGCTGTTGCTGAAGAAAAGAAAGGAAAATTCATGGTCGCGTGAGGTCAGCGATGATCTCTCGATCTTGCATATTCTACTTTCAATGCGAGTACAATGTAATAGAACAAGACTGCTCTTCTGGAAAGCGTTTGCTTTTAAAATAGTCAAAGGTGTACAGGGGTCATTTCTGACGTCAGAGTAGAAGAATTGATTTTGAGTCAGTTTTCCCGAAATACCGACTGCGGAGTCGGGGTATCTTATCGATAAGCTGACCGCTTCTAATGAGACCACAAAGCCTCTAGCGGTGTTTCTTAATAATGTATACGATTAGAGACACGCGAACGGTAGATCTGGCACGATAGTCGTCGAGTATTTCGCTGCTAGGGCAAATTAGTTAAAAGAAACACGAAACTCTATTTCGTTCATTCAAGAAAGCCCTCGTTCGATGATTCCATGGTACCTGGTCAAAATGAAAAAAGCACAAGGCGTTAATATCATTAACGAGATAACGAATGCATCTCTCTAGATCAAATTTTGCGATTCTAACGACGATTGCTAAATCGAAACGCGATCCGAATTGCAATAGAATCGTGGGAACAACCGTGGAATTCTACCTTGACCAGATTTTTAACGCAATTTTTCGGAACGTCAAGGTGCGTTTAATTAGATCAAGGCAATTCGAGCCAAGGTTATAATTAGTACGCCTTAACGAGCTATCGGTGACGAGTAAATGATAGAAAATGACTTTTTTATAATGTTTTTCCATCGAACGACCAGCGAATTCGACTTAACACCGAGGCGTTGATGTCTCTAAACTGGCTAATCGAGCAAAACTCGACTTATTCTCACTACATGCTCAACCAATTCCTCCAACCTTGATCAATGATCGTCGACGTCGTTCGAATTTCTATTTAGAGCGAGTATCTCGCGACTTAGCGCGCGGATAAAGCGTTTAAAATCAATTTCGGAGCCTTGATCATAGAACAGAATAGTCGAGCATCAGGGACTTGACTCGATTTCTCAAGGAAAACGAGTCATCGACGATCAGCAATTCCTTATGACTCGATACGGCAAAGGTTAAATCTCGTCGTCGAATTAAATTAAATCTTACTTAATTGAACAGAAAGTGTCGAGGTAAATACGAAATTGTTATTCGATCGTTTCACGAGAGACACTGGTATAGACAGGGCCTTTTAATGTTAATTTTTATTTATTTTTATGAATGTGAAAGGGCCATTTTTCGGAGCTCGCCTCGGATCCTCGAAATCTCAGGGCCGTCCCTGGGTATAGAATTCGATGAAATCGATGCTTACTCATTTCGATGACTAATGAAATGAACATTTCTTAGAAATTAACGTTGTTTTCCCTCGATCTTTACGACTTTATCGATCACTGTTCTGAGGTAGGAAGTTTGTAGGACGAATCGTTAGGATCGATCGATACCTGATACGATGTCTACGTTGACTACAGTAGAAATACTGACGGCAAATCGCTGGATCGTGGTTCATCTTGAACACATGTCACGGCAACGATGTCAATGACCGTACGTTTCCACGGTGTCGATCGATTTTCTTCTTCCTTCGATCGCTTCTGCTATTCTGCTCTCTTTCCGGGAAACGTTTCCTTCGAACAATGCCGCGACCAATTTTCTTGAAATTCCTTCGAGGAGAAATTTTCAATCGTTCCTCTCAGCGACTTCGAATTTATTATTCTTATTCTCCCAAGAAATTTTTCTCTCAAGATTCCTCTCCGACGTGCTTCGGAAGAAAACGAAATCGAACAACTGCCTTTTCAGCGTTCGCTTTTGAAGAACAATTTTACGGTTCCGTTCGTTCTCTTGGCCTATTTTTGTATTCACGCAAAATGTCCTGTACTCCTTTCTTCTCGACTTTATTCACCGGTGTTTCTTCTTTCTTCCAGAAGGCTACAATGCCACCACTGACTTCGTACAGCCTTCCGTTCGACGAAATAACATTCTCGAATCTCACGGTTTGCTATTCCAAGCGTCGCATTATCATCGTGTTTACGATCCCCCTAAACACCTCTGGCATTTAATTCCCAAGACAAACGTTTCCAATCCGTGAAATATCTCGAAAGGTGTTTCGTATCGCGTAATCGGTCGATATTATGCTTTAAATACGCCGCAATGCAGTTGTCGCTTTTCCATTTGGTGATCGATCGAAATCACTCGATTCTCGATCGTTCGTTTCTTTCAAAAGAAGAACAGTTCGAGTTCCCGTTCGAGCGTTTTCTCTGCCAAAAATCCTTCGAAAATCGTGGCAAATACTCGCAACTTGAGAAAAGTATAATGAAACTTTTTTACCGAAACACGTGGCTAATAAGTTGCTCGAGGCGTAATCCTTGAAAGACTGTCGTTTCGTACACGGCAATCAGCGCTCTTCGTTCCTCTTAATTTCCCCGCGAGCTTAGATTCACTGAAAAACAAAGCGCCGAGCAATTATCACGGCGCGGCGGTTCGGTCGCGATCGGATCCGATTTTAACCAGGTTTCTTCACACTTTTGCCTTCGTTCTCGTCCGTGGCGATCGAGAGGAACTCGAGGAAAAAACAAGGACGTCCAGGTAGAAAGATTCCTCGATCTTTTTCGCGTGTATTCGGAATACAGTGACTCGTTGGCACTTTACGTTACGTTCCAAGGCAAGTTGCGCCAAGTATCGACCAGTGCGAAATGCCACTCAACGAACGGCACAACACGAGCAGTGTCGTTATTATTTGTTAAACAACGCGTTCTTCTTGAAACAATAATCGTTGGAAGAAGTTGCCGTTAATTGCTGTGACACTCGTACTGGAGCGGACCGGTGGTAAAATACGAAGGAATACACCTGGGTTCTCGCTAGTTTCCGGAACTAGTTGTCGCGGTGCCGTAGACGGACCTTGAAGATTCCACGATCGTCCGACGGTTATACCAGGTACAGCATTGCCGATGAACTGTACGTATGTAAGTACCTAGGATTCCTCGAGAGCCGATGTATAACTGTACCCGGCTACAGTCACGTGACGAACAAGCAGAAGAGCGCACGTGTATGCCCACGCGTGCGTGCTCGATCACTCGTTGGATCGTTTAGAACCGCGATCGATCGTCATCGATCCTTCGGAATTATTAGTCAGCGCGTTCGACAGATTTTCGAGCAACTTTTTCCTCCAACCTTCCTACGAGTGAAACTGGTGATCGAGGACGTTCACCTTCGACTCCTACACACTCTGGGAACTGCGTAGGAATCCTAACGAGTTCCTTCGCCGATCTCCAAAATACAACTTCGTTCCTAGACCGAGATTTTCAAAGATTGCGCGACGAAAGTCACGTTTTCATCCTGACGTGATTAAACCAATCGGCTGACTAAGCAGTAAATTACGCGGACGTGCACTTCTCTTACGTAGCATAATTACAATTTTTCTTTTCTGCAAACGTTTCGTGTTTGTTGACGATGTTACGTCAGGCTACGTTAGGAGAACTCGAATTTCAAAGAGCAATTTAATTAACACGTTGAACGCCGTGGGGGACACCGGTAGCAGGCTCCGCAATTTACACACGCCTTAATAATTAAAAGAAAACGATAGAAAAACATTATTTTATTGCTATGGTACAAATCATGTGAAATGGAAAACAGAAAGCTTGAAGCATCGGACTATCAATTAATTATCACTATTCTTAGTAATTAGAGCTTTAATACGTCCCCCAAAAAATGCCCAATTTCACTGTGGCGTTCAACGCGTTAATCATCGGTAAGATTTGGTCGACAGGTAGTTTTCGGTAGAGCTGTAAACCTTGAAACTTTAACTCGACGCTTTGTTTGCGATCCATCTTTGTCTGATTGTCTGTACGTAAAACAACGACTGGATACGTCGGTGCAGCTGCTTCGCGGTATCAGGATAGTAGAAGAGACAGGAGTCGAACGATCGTACGTGGTGCACCGGCCACGTCGGTGTGCATTGTACTTTGCGTACTTTATTTATAACTCGGCTCGTCAACAGAATCCGGTGTAATTTCGAGCAATGCTCGCGATAACTTGTTATTTGCCGAAGATTCGCACGTTGCCTTCTGCGTCATTCTTGTTTGCTCGAACGTTTATAAGAATTTAAGATCGAGACGGTGGTCTGGCTCTGATTGTCAGTGAAAATGGACACGTATGGTCAGACGCGTTAGCTCTAAATGGGACCATCAATCGCGCGTAAACATACGTAAGTACTATTCTCATTCAGAATCTGTTAAGTTCAAGTAATTTGACATGATACGGTGGGCATGGCATTGAAGAACGTATGCGGTAAATAGAAATGGTACGATGACCTATATCAGGCGGTGCGAGATGCCTGAAATCGGAGCGAAGAAACGTGCCTCTGCATTCATTGTTTTTCAATCGCGACTCGCCGCGTCGCAAATAAAGATGACACCGCACCTGCAGAAGCAAATATCATTCATGCTGAACGCAACGAGATTTTATTGCGTATAAATATACATATTGCGATATCGACGACACAAAGTAAGATTTTTCTCGTTAAACGTTTCAAGAGATAACTTGATCCAATGTCGCGTTCAAAATTATAATTTACTTGGAAGATCGTCACGATTGGCACGAGAAGTTTCATTTATAGTTTATTAGTCGATCGTGCACGAGACGGGAACACCGCAGAAGCCAGGCACGAGGTGGCTTTCGTCTCGGTTTCGTCTCGTTTTCCCAGCGTAAAAAGAATTCGCGTGAAACACGCTTATAGATCGGCGGTTGCGTACGCGTATCATTGAATATACATAGGTAAAACGAGTCGAACTGAAAACCGCACGTAATATCGGCGATCAAGCGGTGTACCGCCTTTTCGTTCCACGTGCTTTCATGAAAGTTCTCATCTGCACGCGTCCCTGCTCCGAATAACAATTCTGCAAACATTTATTCAAATTAGATTCTAATAAACACTTAATTAATGCTACTCGTAATTAAGTACTCGGTATAGATTTTTTGGAGCACGTTCGAATAAATCGGTCATTTCGTGTTCAACAACCTGCCCATAATTCCGCAATAGTTTTGCGAGCATGAAAACGAGCAATTGTTCCTCTCGATGATACTGCTTTCATAATTTTAACGGGATCTCGTGATTATATCCTCGAGACTAGTATGATTCGCAGCCAGAAATAAAACGCGATCAAGTCAGCTCTCGAGGAAACCGTTTTAATCTCTGTTCATCGCGCAATACACAGTCAATACCGTCATCGCGTCTGACTATGCGTGCCCTTCTTTCACTGTGATCAACCAATTAACTCAATTATTCCCGATTAGAATTATACGAAATTTGATAGAAAGAGATCAGCATTGAAAGACGAATTTTTCCTACGAATATGCCATTTCACAAGTGGCATTTGTAACTAAAGATTCGGTCAGTGTTTCGTATGCACCGTGTGCACGTGCATACAAGACACGTATGCAGTTGTATCGAACGTGCCGCAGACAATGATGGTGCGTAGGAAGGTAAACCGGAGCCACGCACTCTGATCACTACATCAACAACAGGAGAAAAGAGAGCGAGAAAAAGGGAAAAGAGGGAGTTGAAAGGTGTACAGCCATACTTGCCAAGCCTCGATGCGCTTATCATGCTATCTGCGTGTCTGCGTCACCGTGCAACCAGAATGTAGACAGAAACCGTTCGAAATTGCAAACGATCGTGTCAATAATCCAAATTGCTCTTTGACGCGGCTCGAAAGTAAACAGACCTTACGGTATATTTGAAAATCTTCCACGTATTTAACTTTGTCATTTAGATGGAATGTCGAAAACAACGCGAGTGTACCGCCTACAAAGGCGGACGAAAGATTGACTAATTATGGAGAGGGGAGTGTAATTCGATCACCTAGCGAAAGTTCGTTTAGAATCTAAGTTTCGATGCTTCGGGCGGGAGAAATGCAACGGAAAAACAAAACCAAAAGGAGTTGTTAAAATTCTCAGGGAAAGTTCACGTAACCAACGACACAGACCAAGGATAAGAGAAACCGGTTACTCACTTGTTAACCACGTCTACGATGAATCTTTCCGATTTCTACCATCAGATCTTACAAGAAGACCAAACGGCTTCGTTATTGTCACGTGTTTCTATGATAGACAAAAATTTCAATTTTTCAACCGAGAAGCGTTCTAGTATTCCTTTTTGGTATACTTTCTTTTTCTTTCTACCTTATCGCAAAATTGCATCCTGTTCATTTTTACCGATAAGAAAAAAACCGTTAGAACGCACATGGCAATTGGCGCCAGTGTTGCGAGTTACCTGGTGCCTGTTTGTCGAGGTAGACTCGAACAAAGGCAACGGCTTCGCTTGGAAAATAATCAATAAGGACAAATGTTGCTACTATACGCGCCTGCTAGCCTAATGTACACGTTGACCATAAGTTTCTTTCGGAATGAACGCTTTACAACGCTCGTTAATTAACCGGTTAATTATTTCTTTCGGTCGTTGCACCAAAAACGAATTACATTTCCTTTTTATGAACATCCACAAAAAGTATTGTCCGAAAGCATATTTAGGACGTTCCAGTGTCTCGAGGGTTTTTTCAACGATGACACATGGACTTTCGAAATAAAATGTCAGACATTCTAGGCCCCTGGTGACATTAGGAGTGAAATTCTCTTGTCAATTATAAAACTTCAAACAGAAGAACCGCGATTATTACAGCGGTATACCGTTAAGGGGGCTACATCGGCCAGTACCGTTGACCTGGAGCCGAGTATTCCCGTACTACCGGTGACCCAAAAACAACTCTTATTGTTCAAGAATCGAGACAATTATACGTTACATTCTCTATTTGCATACAAGAGTGCATGCACCCCTCCACACGAACAGCTACACGAATTAACATTTTCCACGTGTTAAAATCATCCTCGATCCTTTCAGTCCCGTAATCTTATTTCCGATAAATCGAATCTATTCAAGGCTGAACTTGTTACAAATCGATTTAAGTATCATTCATAAGCGTCACGGTCCAGAAACTATTCGTTTCTTTCAACTTTCCTCGACTAATGGACGAAGTAAACGTCGAAGAAAACAACTCGCGCTGTTCATTCACTAAGAAACCGTTTCGCTAAGCCGAGTGGAATGACAAACGAAATTCAAATCCATCTCGTTCAATGACATCATTCCATCGTACCGTCGAATTACAAAGGAAAGTGGCTACGTTAAATCATAATGTTCACGGAAATTCTTAACCGTAACGTGTCATTATAGTTCAGATTCAACCGTCCCGTTTTATCGATCTCTTGCGACGAACGAACCCTGCGAAAGGAAATTACGTATAAACTTTACGGAAAGTGATTCGAGGAAAAGAAGAAGACTTTGATGTGAAATTGTCTCACGTGAGGTACGTGTACAAAGAAATTCTTTCGACTTCTTCCTTGGAATATCTTGCTCCGCGACGATAGACTGGATTGCGCAACAGGTTACACGGTTCATCGACGGCGAAACAATCTCTGAACGATCGGGATCATCGACCCTTATAAACTCGATCGAATTTGCCCGGCGATCGAATCGCTATCTCTTCGGAAATCTTCGAGTTCTCTTATATCGAAATTGGAAAAGAAAGAAGAAGATCATCCTTCGTTCGATCCAATTCTCGACGATTCGATCGTGCTTAGAGAGGAAACTGATTAACGTGCACGAAACAGAGTGCACTCTATTTAATTGTTAGGCGTTCGTCGTAACGCACCTGATGAACGACGATGAAAAGTTTTCGCAACTCTGCTCGTCAATTATTCCTGACACGCGTCTTTCTAAAGCCTCGAATGCATACATTTCATTATGGCCGTTGAATGTTTATTAAGATACAGTGAAACGGTTCGATCGACGATGAAATCAATCGCGCTATACATTTGACAGAGGATAGAATGAATTCGGCCTCGGTTAAAATCGTAATTCGTCCTGGTAACAATTATCTGGATTAATTTCCTAACACCTTGCCCACCAAGTGTATCGACGGTTTGCGTAAGAAGGATCTAAAGCGCAAGTAGTGTCAAGCTTGGATGAGCAACGTCCGACAACCGACTCGTTAAAGCCGATTTTCGTTTCCGGTGTGTGTGGCAATAGTTTCGAGCGAAAGAGGACCAGAATACGCGACCGTAATCGATCACCGGGTTAATAATTCACGAAGAAATTCGTGATAAAATGAAAATTAAGAGATACAAATTAATTTGAAAAATTGATCAGCAAGCAAACGACTCACCGTCTAGAAGCGATACGTTGCGGACTGGTTGCCGTGCTGGAAGGTGGACTGGTGGAAGCGCCGCCGAAAGAGCTGGAACACGTCGTGGTTCCTGAGGTGATCGTGTCGCTGCCGGTAGTCGTCGAGAGGACACTGCTCTGCCTCGACGAAACTTCCCGGCTTCTGTTCGCTTGCGATCGACTTCCTCGAAATTGTCGACCACCCCTTCGCGGGGACACCAGGCTCGAACCGTGGACGTTTCGAACGGGTGCGCTAGACGGCCTGAGCAGGGTGCCGGATGTACCGTTCGTCTGGGCGGCAAGAATCTCTGGAGCGATCAGAGCGATGTCCGGTAAAGAGTTCGGCGCAGACACGATCGTACCGGCGCGATGGTTCGTCGAATCGGTGCTCCGTTGCCGGTCCGTTCCTTCCGGTAGTCTCAGGTGGCGGAGACGTCTCATCGAGGCTCGTACCCAAGAATTAACCAGGGTACCACCGGTGTCGCGTGTTTCACGATCGATCGTTTCGTTGCTCGCGTTGCAACCCGTCGTTTCATCTTGTTCGGTGTCGTTCGGTACGGGCAGAGGATCGGAGGCCGACCATCGAGAACCACCGACCACCAGGAGGGACTTCACCGTCCCAGAGACGGACATCGCGCCACTGCAACCCGCATCGGTAGCACGGTGCTCGCAACCGCGCCTGCGCCTCGCATTTTCACTGGTGGGGGATGCGCTCCCTCCTCGTTCAGGATTCTCTTGTACCGCGTCAACCGCAACCGGTGCTAACGACTCCGTAGCCCGTGGACACTCCACTTCCTCCAGCCACGACCAGTCTACTTCCGAACACTCGGAACATCCGTCCTCTGGATTCGTGTCTACCTCATCCCCCGTTGAACAGCTGCAAACAACCAGGACCCGTTTTAATCTTTTACTAATCCTCTTACAGGGTTTTAAGTAACGTAAGAATCAAGGATGAGAATCCTGTATTATCAAATTTCACAGCCACGGTGGATAACAGTACTCGGTGATTTTTGATAAATCTTATTCCATCGTTTCTCTTGTTTCAAATTTTAAGCTACCATGAATCACGATCAACTCGACGTACTACGATAGTTAACGGAAAGAAAGGAACAATGTGTCCTAAATAGGCGAGCACAGGTCACGCGGCGAAAGTTCTAAACGAATCCTTTGTTTCTCAGGCGTGGCTGCACGCGCCACTTGGGAGATCTGATTCTAAACCGACTCGAACTGGGATCCACGCTCCTCGCGCGCGCGACTTGTGGCATTACTTCCGGTTAGCCACGGCTCGCCATAACCGTGAGAGATTCGATGCGAAACCGCACGCACCAAGGTATTTCCACGCGATTCTTCTTACTTCCATCCGTAACACACATCCGTCGATCTAACAGACTAATTTAAATCAATTCCGATAAAATTTGACCTTAAGAAACCCTCCCACGTATCAACATTTATGCAATCATTCCCGTTTAATTGTTCCAACGATATCGGCGTTCTATTGTACGATAGAAAGTGACGAAGCTATCGAACGAAATGTCTGACCCTTCACCTTCGTTTCTACTTGTGGAACCGTGATATAAGTCACGAGACTCTTCTTACCACTTCTACGTTCTCCACGCAACTCCAGACGTGTTTTTATTCTTGTTATCAGCGAAACTGTCTATTCTTTACGATAAACGCGACGTTAACGTTGACCAGAACCCTCGGATTCGATTAAAATCACGTAAAGCTAAGAATAGAAACGAGCTAAGAATTCTTTCTTCGTTGAAATTTTGCAAAAATAACAAATTGCATCTGGGTAAAACGTTAGTGACATCGAGCAATGCGAATAGAAGAATGGAAAAACAGTTTCGTCACGCTGAATTCACAGAACAACAACGCTTACTCGATGTCTTTAGAAATGCGTTATGCGAGCAACGTCGAGTAGCTCTCACCTCGTTACGAGACTTTCGTAACTGTATTATTCGTTTGTAAGAAGTATCGCTAATGTATTACCCGAAAAATAGGTACCCGAGATCCGTGGCATTCGAAAAACCTGACGAGTGTAACACTTCAACGCCTTCTTCCTCTTGTTCCTTTCCCTCGCTCTCTTTCTCACAGCCATTCTTTCAGCATCCTTTTATGCATAAACTAATGAAATAGTTGCAAATAGATAAGTCAACAGATAATGATCCTACCTCAATGTAAAACTAGTCTGTCTATGAATTCCATTGGTGGAGGTCGATGGTCCACAATTGTACTCCCTCAAACTGGGCGATCTATGAAATCGAGAAAACGTGTCCTGTGGCAAACTATCGAACGTACTCCCCTCCGTCCACGATTTACGATGCATGTGCTGAAAAATTCCTCCTTTCTTGCTCGTTTGCTCTTCGCAACGTTTCTTAACAGCAGCCTTGCTACCTGCTTCCAGTTCACGATCGACGGAGATCGATTTAATCTTTCTCGATACGTTCTCGCAAGGTATGTTCAAACTCGTGGGCAATTCGAAGGCTGGATTATTCGAGTCCACGTTTTTCCAACTCGATGCTCGACGACATTTTAACAGATCTTCGTCCTCGGTCGTTAATCCGTTACCATTTAATTCGGTCTGCTCCTCGGTATCGTCGTGTTCTGTGAGAAAGTTGAAGGCATTGTTGATCTCCTGCGCCTCGAACGTTTCGTCCTCCTGCTTTTCGGTAGAACAATGACCGTCTTCGCGAGTCGACGCGCTCCCATGATCGACCGTGTCCTGATGCTCCTCATTAATATCGGAACAGGTCTTCCTTATAACTGGTTCTAAGTTCCTGGTAATGTCGCGAACCCTTTTTATCGTGTCCGACGAGACCACGTCGATCCTCTTACGAATCGGTACCACTTGATCGTGACCCAGGGTGACCAATACGTAACCATTGTCGCTGATGCTCTGCACTTGTTCCTGCTTTCTGGTCAACGACAGCGTTTCCTCTAGTTTCGGTGGACACACGTCCAGAAGATGTTCCTGCTCGTCGGACGAGCAATCTTCGATCGACACCCTTGGCACGCAGATATCGTTCCCGAGATCGATCAGATCACCGTCCTCGGTGGAAGTCATTTTGCGACCGTCGACGTCTGTAAACAGGGGAAAATATTAATATTCATTACCGATCGGCGAGAGAAAACCGTGCATGTTTAGATGAAACGGATATAATCTGACTAACATCGTCCCACGAACTAAGTGGGACGAGTACTTTTTCTCTCCAATCGTCTGAACCTGTCCCACATTCAGTTGACCTGGGGATGAAATATGTTCATCGTAATTCATTGCGATTAAAACTGATTCCACGATCAGGATTCTTCTCAATGAATTTCCAATTGTTTATGCGATTTAACGGAATCGTTAGAAACCATACTGACCTACTCTCGAGAGTAAAATAAACAAATTACTCACTGCTTCGAAAATATTGAAGAACATTACGAAATATCCATGGGGATGACATATCACATACAATTGTCGCTTGAAGTAAAATCGATCTTTAACCGTATCGTGCAAAGGAATGCAATGTGAATAGCTAACAGTTGAAGAAAATAAACTGAAGCTTCAACATCGAGTGTTATATCATTCGCAATCTATTAACGATAAGGTGCTAAGAACAATTTGCAAATTATTTTTAAAAGAATACAACCGGAAGATCTGCTGCTCGACAGAAACAACGCGATCGCAATGAAAAACCACGTAAATATGAAAACTTAATTTACCGTTGTTCTTGTTAGATGAATGGCTATGAATATTGAACGCGTGATATATTGTGCATTAATGACCTTCCATTTTGAATTGATACGATTACGATATCGGTTATCGTTGATTAGCATGTCTTGGACCGATAACAATTCAGATTATTAGCATAGTGCAGGGGTGGGCAAATAACGGCCCGCTAAGAGTTTTTTTGTGGCCCGCCAAGATAGAAAAATCCGCCTTGAACCGAGATTTCCTTCCCGTGCGCGAAGATTCGTCTCGTATTTTTTCCACTAGACCATGTCAATACATTGATTTTTATGGTACAATTTATACCTTTCTGAAATGCAAAGTTTAATGCAATCATTTTAAAAAGTACGGCCCTCCGCTAACCTTCGCTTCCACAATGTACCCCCCGAGCCAAAACAATTGCCCACCCCTGGGATAGTAGGTAAAGGGTTACCGGTACGGAGAATGTAAGAAATCATTCGATAATAACTCGTACAACTTTTCCTGTTTCGTTGTCTCGTGATCAATGAAATTACCTTCATCAGACGCCGAACCTGCAGTTCATTGAACTTTTAATTCTATTCCAATGGGCGAAAGGTTAAAGAAAAAGTTGAATTTTTTGAAGAATCGCAGGAATCGTTGGATAAGAGCAATCTTATAGAGACCTGAAAATTGCAATACTAGTTACTACCTTTTCATTCGCTTTTTTAAATAATGTTCAGCAATGACTTACCCGAGTTTTTGAGAAAACCAAAAAAACAGGAAATCAGTATTTATTAAAAAAATGACTGCAAATGAAATACCTTAGTTAACTTCAAAAAAAAGATACTTTGACAAAACAAAGTTTAGAGAACGCTTCGTAATGTTCAGGTTTTTTTTGGCCTGTTTATTATCAAAGTTGGTAGGGAATATGAATCATTCGTTAATTGATTCATTTGCCTCGCCACTTGTGAGCAGCGTTTCTGTATTGTTACCCTTTTAAACACTCGCTATACCCAACCCCGTATCAAGTGTTCAAATTCCAAGCAAAAAAATTACATTCTCATATATTTTCATTTCAAGTGAACCATAGCGAGTTTGAAGGAAGTTAAAATTGGTTTCAAGTAGAAAATCAAACACATCTGTTTCGACATAGGTGATTAACACTTTATCTACGGATGTTTCATCTTTTCTTTGTTATCGCTGACCGCAGGCAGATTTTTCCGTACGGATTGAATGATTCAGTTCTACATTAACGGTATTTCTATGAATAAAACGAAACAAGAAATTAGCAAATTCTTGTTTTGTTTATTTATTTCTATTTAAATTCGTAAGAGAAAAATTTCATTATCATTTTAATGATGGAATCTCTCTCGACGTCGGCAAATTGAAAAAGAAAGTAAATGAAATTTCTTGTTGCGAATCTATCCAGGGCCCCCATAAGACGATTTTGCTTCTACTTGAAGCATTTTACTTGAATATTAATCGATGTAAATGCAAATCTAAATTAATTGTACAAGCTTTAATGTTAATTTTATACATTTTATTTGAGCTACTTTTTTTTATTAATGTCATATATGTGAACGGGCCCTTTTTCGACCCCCGAAATCTCAAGGCCGGCCCTGAATCTATCCGCTCCAAAAGTTGTGACTAGAATCGAGCGACAGTCACGGTCGATACTTTAGGACGAGCCCGTTGCCAGCACGTCCAGGTAACAGGTAAACCAGTAACCGGACCTTCTCAGCTGGCTATGGCTCTACATAGCTCATTCGTGAATCACAAACCAGGACAACGCCTTGAGAATATTCCTTTAGGTAGGGCATCGAAACTAATCAACATCCGAAAAATCAATCGAGTTGAACGGTCTCCGCTTTCCTCGTGTAACACAATGCACGAGATCGTTGCTCTTTTGCAATAAAGATCTTAAGCCTCCGTTGAACGTTGCCTCAAATTCCTTCGCGTGAACTCTTGTGAACTCTTCGAAATATTTCGTGCCGGCCTCTCGTGGAAAACGATAAATGCTTATGAGCAATGGGGATTTTTTTTTTATAAGAAAAATAGTCAATCACCGTTGAAATATCGTGTAGGAATTTTGTGGGAAATTATTAGGAGTGATAAAACATAAATTCGAAAACGGGAATAAATTGTCAACAGTTCTTTATCCGTTTCTCGTTTCTTTTCGTTTAAAACGATTCATAAATGGAAATATATTTAATGTGTGACACACAAGCAGTGCACAATGGGTATCGATACGCATTTGAAGGCCAACTACTTGATACGTACAGTGGCTATATGTTTTTAATATAGTATTGTTAATGAGTCTGGTACTAATTTCAATTTCCCACAAAAATCATTAACAATCCTCAGTTTAATCGATAAAAATATAAAAATATTTGATATTTTGCATACCTTCGGTTCCTCGAGATTTTCAAAAACGTGGCCGGGAAATCGAAATTCTTGCGCTTCCACTGAAGTTGATCGCGCAAGGTCCAATGTTACAAACAATAATAAGCGATTTCATTTCTTTACGAAATTGTTATTAAATTGAACACAATGTTTGCTTCGCTCATGGTAAAATACGAGAACCGTATTGTGTATGTTGCGATCACGTTTCTTGTATCTTCGTCTACGCCATTTTATACAGCACAAAAGTTTCATGTGTACGGTTCAAACAACTGGAACCGATCGACGTTCTTTAAGATGCAGCAACTCTCTGGAATTCGTGAACCGATCGAGAACGAGCATAACGCCATCTAAAAATATTACAGACTCGTTTAGCTCAAAACGTGCCTGTTAAATTACAAAAAGAAAAGAAAAAAAGAAATTTAGCTCGGCTCTGTTATGCGGATGCCTTTGACAGATTTATAGCTTCGTAAAAATAAATTCAAATGTCTTTCTACCTATATTTTTCGAATTGAAAATAACTATTTATCATTGTCGCGTTCAATCGGGTCTTTTTAAACGAGCATTTATGATTCTTCGATATTCAAATTTATTTTTATTAAAATTCTTCCTGATGATCTAGAAGAACAGTTTATTTCCTTTTATATAGAGGAAAAAATATCAACGCACACTCGTGTCACCAAAGTTATACAATTCTCTTGAAATAAGTTCGAGATCCGTTTTGCATTTACTCGCTCCGTTATTCTTGGTACTGGTCACGTCGTCACTCGAAAAATCAAACTGGGCACACTCGCGTGATTTCGATAGTACAGTTGCAGCAACAGCAGCAGCAGCAGCAGCAGCAGAACATTCTCTGATTTTAAACACCGCTAAGTATTTCCTTCCCCTTGCACTTTTTGTATTTTTTCGTATGGAGATTTGAACGAGGTACTCGTTATAATTTTTGAAACGCCACGTAGATAATACGAAACAAGTAATATATACTTTACGGTATCCGCGTAAGGCACGCACTGAGGAAGAACGAATGTCGGCAAGGAGAGCCCGATGCGTGCATTCACCAATTCACTACCGATCTTCGGTATGCCTATGTGTGCGTACCTGCCTGCTTGGCCATCGAAAAGAGAATATGCAGACCCAATGGCAGAGAGAAAGGGAAGCAAGAGGAAAGAGGCAGCAGAGAGAGGGTGAAAAAGAGTAGGAGAGTTGAAGAGAACAAGCATAGGCGAAAGCGGACACGCGAGCAACAAGATTTGTTGAACGACACTTACGCTCAAGAGTTTCTAACTTTATATTATTGCTATCGTTGCTATTTCTAAAGTATTTATATTACTAATTATTGTTTCATTTTTATTTATTAATAACATATTCATCGATATATATATAGATGCATATGAATATTGGATTTATTATAGGATAGTTAATATAATGAGTAATAATGGTTCTTGTACGACATCCTTCATGAATTTGACGTTAATTGCTTTTTGAAATATAATGTTATAGGTAAACACGCGTACAACAAAGTATAGCTATCTTGATAGAAAATCTTTATTTGTTTCAATTTTAAATTAAATCATGCAATCGCCTTTCTAATAGCTCCGCATCCAACCGATGCTTACAAAGATATTGACCTTCCAGAAAGAGAACTGGAATTTCGTATTTATACAAGTTAAGAAATCGTTCATTCCCTGGCGATGTAATATCAATTTCTTGTAATTGATAACGATTAGAAAAAAGTAATCTTAGCTGATCTTTTAAAATATCACAAAGCGGACAAGGATGTTTCGTGTATAATGTTAATGTCGGTGGAGAAGATATTGGGTGCCACCTACAGAACGAGAGAGTTTTAATCTTTAAAAGATAATTGTTTTCATTTTTATAACATGATTGTTTATTTATTATAATATTAGTGTAAAAAAATAATTTGTATAAATATAAAAAATATTTTCTTTTACAATTTGTATAAAAAGCATCATATGATTAGTAATCAAAATTGATTATTACTGATAACATATAAATGTAAAATGAAATCTCTTTTATAAAGCAGATAGTTAAGTTTGTCACTATAAAACAAACGGTCTGTTGTCAAAGACTTACAACTTTTCAATTAAAATTGAAGAAGCTCCACCGCCTCCATTGCAAATAGATGCAACACCTTTCTGGCCAGCCTTTAGAGCATGTACTAAATGTACCACGATGCGGGCTCCCGACATACTAAAATTGTGAATATTATTTAATCAAATTTATATATGACCATAATAAATAGTTACTTACCCAATAGGATGGCCAAGAGATACAGCACCACCGTGAACGTTTACTTTATTAGGATCAAGATCCAGAAGTTTTTGATTTGCAACTACAACTACACTGAAAGCTTCGTTAATTTCCCAGAGGGCTACATCATTCTTATTAATTCCAGCAGCTTCGAGTAACTGAAAATTAATATATATTTAAGTATCGAGATTGTGTTAAGTATCATATAAGTTTACACGTTGTGGAAAAAATACTTTAGGAATAGCAAAATATGGTGCAATCGGAAAATCGATAGGATCGGTCGCAGCATCTTGAAATGCAACAATTCGTGCTAAGGGTTTCAGATTCATTTTCTGAGCAACATTTGTGGTAGTTAAAACTAATGCAGCAGCCCCATCGTTTAAGGTTGATGCATTGCCAGCAGTCACTGTACCATTTTCTTTCTGTAACGAATAGATGTACATTATTGCATGAAATTTAAATTAATAGCTATAATGAGATTCATAATTATACCTGGAAAACTGTATTCAATTTACTAAACTTAGCAAAGTGTACTTTTTTATATTCTTCATCCTCATTAAATATTAGATCAGGTTTGCCCTTTTTCTGAGGCACATTAACAGGAACAAGTTCATCTTGGAATATTTTATTCTCATACGATGCAGTACTACGTTTATAGCTATTGATAGCGTATTCATCTTGTTCATCTCGGGAAATATTATACTTTTTTGCAGTATTTTCTGCACAATTACCCATATGGCATTTGTTATAAACATCAGTTAGACCATCAAATACAATACCATCCTATTATTTTATATGTGTAAGTAAGATAATTAAGAACATAATTAAAATTTGAAGATGCTTTAAAAGGGGATGTTAAAATATCCTCTATACCTCAAGTTTCATTCCACCATACTTAGTTTCTCCCCTATGAAGATAAAATGGTACATTAGACATGGATTCCATACCACCAGCAAGTACTATCTCTTGATGTCCACATTGCAATGATTGAGAAGCAAGCATAATGCTTTTCATTCCACTTGCACATACTTTATTAACTGTTGTACATATAGTTGATTTAGGCAGGCCTAATTTAAGAATTTTTTTTATTACAGATAATGTAATACAATGACTAAATAAAATAGAGAAATAATGTTATAAAAAATGAAACCTGCAAATAATGTAGCTTGTCTTGCTGGTGCTTGTCCCAAGTAAGCTTGACAAACATTTCCCATATACACTTCTGTAACTTGCTCTTTGGAAACTTTTGCACGTTCAACTGCAGCCTGATAAAATCAATAATTCTGTTTTATGTTTATACCTATTAAACATAATAAAAAAATAGATTAACACTTGCTTGTATAGCCAAAGCTCCAAGTTTTGGTGCAGATAAACTTGATAAACCTCCACAGAATGATCCCATGGGTGTTCTAGCTGCGCTAACTATAACAACATCATTTAATTTTACCTCAGAGCTATATGATCGTAAACTGATCAAATGGATCTAAAAAAAAAAAAAAAAAAAAACACACAAATACTAAAGCATGGTAAAACATCTTTTAGAAAATAAAAGTTCATGAATATTTCTTAATACAGTACAGATATATAACATTTAAATAAAAACTTATGGTATTTGAAAATTACTTACTTTGCTTAGGTGTTTTAGAGATAACATTTTGAAAAACAAAATATATATTGTAACTACTGTAAAAAAGAACACGATCTGTTACGCTCGACCAAAATAATAAGTTGCCAATTTCTACAGTATCTTTCCACGGAGAGTTCGAATCGGGTCAGAGTTGAGACAGAGTCGAGTAGGGGGTACTTTTATGGTAGAAACAACAATCACTATGTTTCTACTGAGGGTTCGAATCGGATCAAAATTTGGTCAGAGTCGGGTTGGGGTGACTTTTTTACAGTGAAAACACCAATGAATCCTACTTTATCCTATCCAATAAAATTTTAAGATAGTGTCGAATATGGTCAAAGTTTCCAACTCATCGCAGTATTAAAACCCGTCGCATACAAAGTTTGGACCATGATTCTTTATGTTTTATCAAATATTGTAAAGTAATGAATATAGTTCGAATATATTATAATGTATAGGACATTAAACACTTTCTTTAATTAAATATTATTGTTAGAAATTTTTTTAGTTGATGCGTTTAAAAATTTTAAAAAGATATAAGTTTCTTATGAAAAACGCTCCTGAAATATCGCGCAGGCGTGAAGATTCAGAAGTACGCAACTTGTATCTAATCATATCTAATACATTTTTTAGTTTATAAATCGTGATGTGCAATATAAATGATTGATATCACGTTAAATTATTATGTATCAGCTGTACTATGATAGGAATTTCAACACAAAATGTAATAATCATATGTTCTGTCTTATAAATTGTACTATCTTATAGACATTTGGTTAAACATTTTGTTGTCGATAAAGTTAACATTCGTAAAGAAACTTTGAAAATGAATGTTGAAGAAAACAGATTAAGAACTTTTGCGGATTGGCCAACAAATGCCACGGTTGATGCTGCTCGAATAGCAAAAGCAGGATTTTATTATAGCGGACGTGCTTTAGAAGTACAATGTTTCCTATGTGGAGTAAAAATTTCTGATTGGAATTATGGTGATCAAGCAATGGTACGTCATCGATTAGCCGAACCTACTTGTCCTTTTGTTCAAAATCCTTCTAATACCTGTAATGTTCCCTTGTTACCTATATCTACCAATAATTCTGGATTGCCATCGTCATCAGCTGACGTATCACAAGAAAATATAATTGAACTTCAATCTATAAATTCTAATCAGAGCAATGAACCACAAAAACAATGTAGGACTATGTTGCAAAGATTACAAACTTTTACCAATTGGCCTATTTCTTCTATTGTATCACCTGAAAAGCTTGCTAAAGCTGGGTTTTATTATCTTCAACACAAAGATATGGTAATATATTAAAAAAAGCATAGATTTTAAATAGTATTTACATTATATATGACAATGAATGTGATTTGTAGGTGCAGTGTATATACTGTAGAGGTATTGTACGAAAATGGGAACTCGGTGATGATCCAGATAAAGAACATAGAATACATTTTCCCAAATGTGATTTTTATATGCATCAAGATGAAGAGGGTACTTATTCATACATAAATAATACTTTTTTTATTTGAAGCAATTGTTATATTTGAGCTTGTTTATTATTAGATCAATTATATTTATCCAATGTAAAGTTAATGCCTGGAGCAACATCAAACCTCACGGAATTAGGGATACAAACGCATACAGCTCCTAAAAAACCAAATCATGCCACATACGAAGGAAGATTGAGTACTTTCAGTGGTTGGCCAGAGAATCTGAAACAAACTCCTGAAATGTTATCTAGTGCAGGATTTTATTACAATGGATTTGGGGATCATGTTAGATGTTTTCATTGTGATGGTGGTTTACGAAACTGGGAAGCAACAGATGATGCATGGACTGAACATGCAAGATGGTTTCCTAAATGTGAATTTGTAAATCTTGTGAGGGGTCAAGAATTTATCAAACAGTGCATTAATAGTAGACCACCTTTGGACCCATCAGTAAATATTATATACTTATATTAATATTATATATTTTGTATCTAGTCTTAAATTATATTTAATGTTTGCATAGATTTTTGAAGGTGTAACAGAAGATGATGATACAGACATAACTGAAACCCCACCTGCTTCACTACCACCAGTTTTACCAGCTCCATCAGAAATTACAGATGCAGCATTGGAAAGATTATTAGATAGTCCGCCAGCAACAGTACTATTTCATACATTTATTCACTTTTTATTTGAATATTTAAAAGGGTTTTATTACTACTTTCAATCATATTTTATTTTAGACAGCTCTAGAAATTGGATTACACGTTGGCAGAGTAAAAAGAGCTTTAAAAAGACGAATGGAAGAAGTTGGAACTCCATACACAAATCCTGATCAACTTATAGAAGATGTCCTTCGTGATCAAATTATGGAAGATGATACTAGGCATGTGAATCGTAAAACCATACAGATTAGTACAGCAATACAATAATTACTAACTTAGATTTTTGTTTCTTTCACAGATTACAAACTCCTGATTCACCCTCTTCAGAATTAACTACCTTGTTAAACCTTGTATTAAGAGAACAAACAAATAATACTATGGAACAATGTCCTGATATTGAAAGGGATGATACTTATCAAGAAAATAAAGATAAAACTGACTTATATCCCTGTAACGGTGAAAATTTCAAATTATCTGATGATAATACACTTGATAAAAAAGCAAATATTAAATTGAAGGAAACTGGTAAGATAAAGATTTGTTATTGCGCATTTGTTCCCGGTATCTGATAATGAACTGTTATTCGTTGTATTTTTCTAGCATCTTTAGAAGAAGAAAATAGAAGATTAAAAGAAGCTCGTTTGTGTAAAATTTGCATGGATCGGGAAGTAGCTATTGTATTTTTGCCATGTGGACATTTAGCAACTTGTGTTTATTGTGCTCCTTCTCTTACATACTGTCCAATGTGTCGACAAGAAATTCGAGCTACTGTTCGTACATTTTTATCCTAAACCAAATTTCAAAGTAAAAGCTATTACTTTACCTATATAAATTCAGTACTTTAGTATCTAAACATGTATAGTATATGTAAAAATGTATTTTTTGTACGTTTCTTTTAAGTGATAATTGTTGGAGTTTTCAAAAATTTATATTATTAAAAAAAGAACATATCAAAAAAGGTATAATAAGTAAATAGCATAATCTCTACTAAATGAGATATTTCATTATAAGTTTAATTAAATTAAATGCTGCACTTCAACATGTAAAAAGTACTAATTTAACTTATAATACGAACTTAAATATTATAATTTCACTTGATAATTGTACATAGTTAATGTACTGTTTATGGTTTATGTAGTAACATATTTATCTGAAGAATGTTAATCCCTTAACAGTCTAATTAATTTCGAGTTTTCGGTCAAGAAACTGTATAATTTTTTTATCGTTTTAAATGTTTGTATATGTGATAAAAAGTATAAAACAGTATGTTTTGCAAGTTCCTGCGCAAGTACATCGTCATACTGAATCAAAAAGTAAATTACTTTCTTTCCTTTAGATATTAGAAAAAAAAGAGAGGTAGAAATCAATGTATATCGAAGAATAAACATGGATATCAAGGCTGGACTAAACAGTTCCGGCGCGTCGCCGTACCCGAGTCTCTCTCGGGATAAATTGTTAAGGGGTTAAATGTAATCTGTTCTATTCAGATATAATGAGTACTACGTGACATAAGTTATAAACATGTAGCAAAAACTTAAGCATATACATATGTATATATTTAAAGACATTTTGTTTATACATTCTACAATTTTATTTGAGAAACTTTTTTATATTTTCAATATATGTCCTTACATGTATGCAAATTAATTAACTGTTATTATATTGAAAAGTAAGGTAATTAAAATACAAATAAATTATTGAATATATAGATGTATGTACATTGTTATAATAATACTAATTGTTAATCAAAATACGTAACACTTTTAAGTGACAATATTGTATAATTTTTTTTTAATATGGCTAAATTGTTCAATTCATAGAAAGGTGAGAAGGGGATTCCCACCAGTAGCCCAACTCTTGTTTCGTATACCGCAGTTCACTAGAGTCCATAACTGCGAAAAGACCAGTTTTCGTTCTTCGCGCTTCTCCAGTGCGCATCTTCGCCCTGATTGGCGATACTTCCAAACGAAGTGGAAAGCGATTAGCAGAGAGCTCGCTGCGTTCCCCCACTATCTTCCAACCTGCGCGTCGCAGTTATGGACTCTGGTGAACTGCGGTATACATGCAAGAAGGAAATAGCAGTCTTCTGTCACCGCGCGTTGAATTTCCAAGGGAGACTCCTTCTTCTTTGACCCTGTAACGTACTCGCGAGTACGCCAAAATTAAAAATTGATTGATAGTTTAGCAAACGTGTGTATTATTAAGCGAATTCCAAAGTTACAGAGAAAGGTCTTACTTGGAAAATATGTGACGTTTATTAAACAAAAAGTAATCTTATCCATTGACGTTTCATTTTAAAAGTATTTGTTAAGATAGGCTATCTATTGACATTACCTATATAGAATATATGACAATGTCAAAACATACCAGTTAATGATACACGGGTAGCTGATGGATACTGCTGTTAATTGTTAATTTCTTGAAAGTGAGTATAGAAAAAGTATGTTTCACTCATAAATATTATTATTTTATATAAAATATGACGTATATGTGTTCATTGCGTTTCATTATTTATTGTAAATATGTATGAAGTATTACTGTGTTCTAAGTCGAATAGCAATAATTTTATTCTTATAATTGAATTATTGTTTGGCTACTGCATGACTTGCAAAATAATAAGGAAGATTATTCTTTATTACATCCTCTAAAAACAAATGAAATTATATTATGAAAGAAATTGTTATATTTTTTACATAGACACCGTGTAAATGTTAATCGTATAAATCGAAATACGTTATCAGTGTAATTTCTTGTTGGTTTCTTTTTATTTTGAATTAAGTTTGATTTATCGCAAACGTATTTTACTAAATATATGTAAGTACAAGTTGGGCGAGTATGTGTATGTATGTACATATATATGCATAGGTATGATTATGTGTTACATTGGAAGTGAAGTATGTTAAAAAAGATTAATTGAACTCGGTTATTATTTTTAATCGGGATTTCTGAGAAAGTTACGCATTAAATTGCACGTATAGTTAAAACATAAAAAGAGAACGCAGTAGATTGGTCGCGGCCTTTTCCACGGCCTCCGTTATTAATACGCTTTAGTTGGGTTGAGTCGAGGGGCGGGGGGACTAGGAGTCTTACAGAGGAACGCCATTGCTGACTGCTGCGTTAACCAGAACGAAAAGGTTAGATACTTGCGTTTCTCGTTTGTGATACTTTCTCGTGCTAGATCAATATGTTTTTCCATGAAAGAATGTTATTTCGTTTGTACAAATCGCGTGTGTTGTAAATTCATTTCTCGATTCATTACCTCGATTGTTAGTGAAAGGAAAACACGGTGATTCATTTTTTGAAATTATTCGAATTTATTCAGTCGAACAAATTGAATAAAATTATATTTAAAATGTAAGGTATTCGATGTAGGAAACTAATCATTTTTGTGTGTAAATTTATTGACAACAGAAGAATAATCGTTGGAGGACAAAGCGAGAACAAAGTGCGTGTTCATTTACGGGTCTTCACAGTTGTTCTGATATCAGTATGTAATATGAGATACATCATTTTGTTGCTTACTAACTATACAAACAGAATGTCTTTTTAACTATAAATAAAATTTGCATTTAGGACGAGAGGTATCCGAATGATTTTTTAAATTATGCTCAATGAATTTTGTAAAAATTGTCACTTCCGATTGATCCTAATTAAAAATAATACTTAAATAAAACACAAATGAAAGAATTCATATGATAAATGTGCTTCGCATTTTGTAGAAATAGAAGTTTCCTTTTTTGTTTGGTCTTTCTACAAAGAAATGGCCAGTTATGTTTGCTTCAAGAATCTATCTTTCTTACATACCAACTTCCGTTGTGTGAGTTCTTGCCTTCCTACTCTTGATTACGCTGTTGCCAAACGTTACGAGCCAAACAGATGTGAAAGTTTAAAGACGAATTCAAGATTTCATTTTATGATTAATATTTAACAAGTTTAACAGATATATTGTTTTGTTCTTTTCGTAGAAAAAAATATTTTAATCTAGAAGCGCTGTTGAAAATAAAGAAATTAGGCAACTTTGTAAATTTACAGCCTATAATACGCATTAACAAAATTAAAATGATGAAACATTTAAAGAAAAAATGTATAAATAAGATTGCTAGAATTAACAAACAGATCGGAAGGTATTAATCCTTTTATTGAAGTTTTATCTTGGAAATCAACGAGTTGACCTTTTTTATTCTTTTTTTTCTCTTATCACATGATATCTCAACAATTCCAGGATTTGTTGATATGATTAACTATGAGTGGTTTCTACATCGAATATCTCTTTTTTTAAGTCGTTTCACGTGAACAGGCTATTAGAAAAGTATGCGCGTTCCGGAAAGGGGAAGAAAGGAATTCGCTATAGGTTTCCAACTCAGAGCTGTAGCAAACCGGTTTGGTGCCCTGTATAAACTAAACTTTTCATATAGTATCGAAATCTGTTTATTGAAAGAAAAACAAACTGTCACGAGTATTTGTATATCAAATAACGTTGTTTTCCACCATTTTTAATAAAACTTTAATAAGTATTCATTTATTGTTACACTTCCATTCTGAAATAATATTTATTAGATGCAATAATAAGTTAGTTAAGTACATAAATGTAATCGTTTAGATATGATTGTTATTAATAGTAAAATTGTTAAGATATAATTGCATATAAAAATAAGGGGTCCGGGTTGCTACGCCCTTATCATCGATACATTTCATTCCCATGACCGTGCAATGGTGTAATGCAACAAGAGAAGTTAAAATACAGGCCATACAAGCGGCAACGTTGCACAGGGCGGTGAACAGTATGAGTGTATACTACAGCTGCACTTTTACGTGTGTTGGCTCTAAGAAGAGAGAGATCGAGTCTGTTCTCGGAAGTTCTCGTTTGTGCGATACGTAGGCTGCGTCATTTCAAGTTTTATAGTGTGAAAAGTCCATGTTACTCTGTCATTCACGAATCATAACGGCATTGCCATCCGCTAGCAAGGCTGCTCTTTAGACTTCTCTATCTCTCTCGTTCTTCTCCCTCCACCCCTTGTTCTCTATTTCGTATTGTTGCACTAATGTATATTATAAACGATTATCCGTTAATATGAATAATCTTCCTTAAGTGTACAAAACGATTATATATTCAACGTTATGATTCTTTATACATGTATGTTCCATATGTTTTATAATTTTATTATGCAAAAGTTATTTATTTTGCAACAGAATAAATAATTATGTGTTGTGTAATATGTTGTATAAAACAAAACAGCTTTTTTTATTACAGGTTTTGAGGTAGTAAGAAGTAAGATGACTGGAATTATTAAGCCGCTTGAATTGGGAGGTGACTCAAACTTTAAAACTTCAGCAAATTCGCATTTAACACCAGTACCTCGCACCATAGCACCTCATGTATTGACAGATGAAGTAGATAATGTTGACTATCGTTTTGAAGCAGCTAGATTACAAAGCTTTGAAAATTGGCCTGTATCATATATCGAACCTGAGAAATTAGCAGCTGCTGGATTTTATTACACAGGCGAAGGTGATAAAGTAAGATGTTTCGAGTGTCAAGTAGAGATATGCCAATGGGTAGAAGGTGATAATCCTATGGTTGATCATCAACGTTGGTCAGCAAGGTGTAGATTTATTCGTAAAATGCACTGCGGTAATGTACCTATAGGTGTAGATCCTAGTACAGTTTTACCACCAAGGCCAAGAAGCAGAGACGTGTGCGGGCCTTATGGTATAGAATATCGACCTACATCCGGTCCTGACAACCATAATTTCTCAAGTGAATTACAACTGCCAAGTACTGCTAAACTCAGTTGTTTAGGCTTAGGAAGACCTAAAGGACCTGTACATCCCGAGTATGCTAGCTATGATGCTAGACTACGTACATTCGAAACATGGCCAAAATCTATGCCACAAACAAAAGAACAATTGGCAGATGCAGGGTTTTATTATATTGGAAAAGGTGATCAAACTTTGTGTTATCATTGCGGTGGTGGCTTAAAAGATTGGGAACCAGAGGATGATCCATGGGAGCAACATGCAAAATGGTTTTCTAAGTGTTATTATTTATTAATGGTGCAAGGACAAGATTATGTAAATAAAATAACCGGTCAACATATATCTCCACCATCTAAAGAAGTAAGTATTTAACTTTTAACTTGTATATATTATATGTATAAATAATAGTTAATTCATGTGGTTAATTTTTTTTTTTTTCTTCCAGGAAACAATGCAAATGAATTTACCTAGTTTTATTAAAAAGGTACAACCAGTAAGCGTAGAAACAGAGAAAAAGGAAGAAGTAGAAAGTAATCCTGGCCCAAGTTCTCAAAATGTTGGTTCTCAAGATAGTGGAATAGAGAGTATTGGAAGCCGATCCGAATCTATAAAAGGAAGTGCAGAAGATTTATTAAATTCAAAGACACCGTACAATAAACCAATAGATGATGCGCGGATGTGTAAAATTTGTTATAACGGAGAATTAGGAGTAGTATTCTTACCATGTGGACATATAGTTGCTTGTGTTAAATGTGCTCCTGGAATGACAACTTGTGCAGTATGCAGAGAGCCTGTTACTATGACTGTGCGAGCGTTTTTCTCATAGTATTCCATAGTTTGTGATAGTAAATGATTTTATATACAATTTCTGTTATAGTGTTTTACACTCGATCATCCACGACTGGTAGCGATAATTTATCGCGAATTGCACTATGACATGACTCATGTGGTATACCAGTCTGCGGGTACAAGCTTTAAAAATTTTGCAGATTTTCGAAGCTTTATGTGATGTTTAAATTATAAGTACATGGGAAATAAAAAAAATTATTTTAATACAGTTGATAATAGAAAGAATATATTTCATAGTCGGTAACAAAATCAAAGAATCTCTTTCACGTCCTGGAATTTGTCTGCGTATGATCAGTATTAAAATAAACGATATAAATATATTTAAGTATTTTTACAAATTACATAACATATCACGGATATCGGAGTTATGAGATAATTGCTCATACTGGTCTTCGGTAAAGTTTTCAGATTAATTTTGTCTGAAACTAACAAGAAGGCCATGCGAGGTATTAGGCATCGATTTCAATAAAACTTTGTGGATAGGTACATTATAAATAGATATTACATCCATATTTGTTCGTTTAAGTACGTAGTCGGTTAATGGTTCGTGACATATTTGATAAAAAATACAGTACACGTTTGTTAAATATTTCATAAACTATTGAATGTCTGCAAATTATATAGCATTTTTAGGTCATCGACTTATATACGTGTAATCAGTACATAACACCTCGTGTGGCCTCTTTGTAAGTATAAGCTGTACCTGCAACTGAACGTTGCTATTTATATATTTGTAAATTTATGTTGTCGGAAACATCAGATAAATCAAAACGACAACAAATTAAATAGCAACAAAACATGAAGTCTAGTCATTAATATTATACAATGACAAAACAAGAAGTAAAGGGTTACGATTGTAAGTTATAAAAATTTAATGAAAGAATATTGATTTTATAATTCTATTATAGTGCTAATACAATCAATGTCTACTTTATTACCCTAGCTTAGTTTCGTCTAATATTGTATTTTAAATTTATATATCTTGCTATGAAATAATATATGTGATCTCTGTGAAGTATGTTTTCAGCGTATGTTCAGGGGTAATTGTACACATTTAAATTATAAGCTGCATACAAATTATTTGACTAAACTAATCTAGGGAGGAATTACATATTTCATCCAATAGAGACTTCTAGCACTCTTATGATTTGAAGGATTTGTTGATATTATAAAATATAATGTGTATATTGTGTATACAGTATGATTAAAGACAGGGAAGAGTTATTTGTTTTAGTGTATAAAAAGAAGCAAAAATAGTAAACATTCATATTCAGTTAATAAACAATGCTAGAATTTTTCTAGCCACCTGTTTTTGGCTATGATTAGCATTATTATATATTGTTTCAATAAAAAATGGAATACATTAATGATTGATTTTCTTTCTTTGAACTTAGCGACAAAATTTAGTACATATTCAATTAAATATATTAAACATATAATTTCAATGCAATTTTATTTCAAAGATTTTAGATCGTACATTTCATTCTATTTTTCTATCGGATAATTCAAATAAACAATTTGAAATAGTTAAAACATTTCACTTTTTTACTGGTTTTCTAATTGTTAATAAATTAATTTATTTTACTAGCGAATTTGCACATATACAAGATTTGCTTTCAACATGTATTATGACTGAAAAATATCTATATAATACATATAACATACAATTATAAGAAGTATTTGATGTAGGGTTGAAGGGATTAGAACTAGTAAAGTAGAATGTAGCACATTGCGATTTTGCCTTTTTGCCAGTTAATATGTTTATGAATAATTGAAATAATGTTAATTTGTCTGTTGAAACAAGTTTGTCTGACACAGTACGGAAGTTGAATGCAAAGGATGGAATTATACATAAATATACTATTCTTAAATGTCTATAAATCATTGCATTTACTTCCAATTAAATTACCGGTTTTGCGTATTGAACAATTTAGAAAATAATTATCTTGCTTAAATTGTATTGTATTAAAAATAATTCACACATTTACCTTATTACTTTATTTAACGTGCATAATATGTATATTTTAAATGCGTTGTCAATATACATACATGAATTGTCAAAGATTTTAATTGCCTTTTCTTCATGTAATATCAAACGAAATTAATATATAACTGAAAATTGCATATACATTTGTGTATTAATATTTCCAGAATTTAAAAGAAATTGCTAATTTCGAACCACAACTTTTAAAAAATTAATTTATATCGATCGATTTAAAATTTGGTTACTTCGACTTCATAAAATATTTCAAATTTTTATGTATGGAAATAATTATGATAATACAAAGTCAAAATTAGCACAAGACCGAAGAATTAAGTGTTTGACAAGTATGAGTTTTAAAAAGACCGCCAAAAATCAACTTTTAAAATTCGACACCAGCACCATCTATGCAAAAATGGCTGAAACTACTTGACAATTTACCGACAGGTTTTCCGAAACAATTATCGCAGTTTAGGCTTTACCGGCTGTACTTCCGAAAATCTCCATACTCCAAATTGGCATTTTTAATAAAAATGATGATTCCAAAAAGGATTCTTGGCGATCTGAAAAATAATTTTCTACCATTTTGATGTCATTCCAGTTTTGCAGAGAGTCAACGGTGCGTCGGGGTTCCAGATACCCGAGGATGCCATAATGTCGGTATGCAGTGTCACTGGTGTTTCGGGGTCCCAGACACCCCAGAGCCATAATTCGGTATGTAAATAGCGTCACCGGTTCTTGGGGTCCCAGACACCCCGGGATCGAATTAGGTCGTATCCATCACTACCTCGAACAAATGTGTATCACGATTTGTTCGCTGTTAGGTCTTATATTTCGCTAGATCCGGTCAAACCCATCACTATCCCGAACAAGTGAGTTTCACGATTTGTTCGTTTTCCGTTCTTATATTTCGCTAGATCCGCTCAAACCCATCACTATTCCGAACAAGTGAGTTCCACGATTTGTTCGTCTTTCGTTCTTATATTTCGCTAGATCCGCTCAAACCCATCACTATTCCGAACAAGTAAGTTTCACGACTTGTTCGTTTTTCGTTCTTATATATCGCTAGTTGCTTCGGGGTCCTTGAAACCCCAAGTAGCATAATATCAGTGTCACCGGTTCGTTGGGGTCTCAGACACCCCGAATGTAGTAGTGTCGGTAAGCAGTGTCTACGGTGCTAAGGGGTCCTTAGCACCCCGGATGGTATAATATTGGTATGCAAAGATACTCCCCGGTGTTTGGGGTCCTTAATACCCCAATATGATATCAGGGCGGTACGTAGAGATAGTGCCTGGGGCTTCGGGGTCCTTAGAACCCCGGATGGTATAATATATGTATGCAGAGATACTGGCTGGTGTTTCGGGTTCCTTAAGACCCCAATATGATATCAGAGCGGTACGTAGAGATAGTGACTGGTGCTTCGGGGTCCTTAGAACCCCGGATGGTATAATATGGGTATGCAGATACTGGCTGGTGTTTCGGGTTCCTTAAGACCCCAATATGATATCAGAGCGGTACGTAGAGATAGTGACTGGTGCTTCGGGGTCCTTAGAACCCCGGATGGTATAATATGGGTATGCAGATACTGGCTGGTGTTTCGGGTTCCTTAAGACCCCAATATGATATCAGAGCGGTACGTAGAGATAGTGACTGGTGCTTCGGGGTCCTTAGAACCCCGGATGGTATAATATATGTATGCAGAGATACTGGCTGGTGTTTCGGGTTCCTTAAGACCCCAATATGATATCAGAGCGGTACGTAGAGATAGTGACTGGTGCTTCGGGGTCCTTAGAACCCCGGATGGTACAATATGGGTATGCAGGTACTGGCTGGTGTTTCGGGTTCCTTAAGACCCCAATATGATATCAGAGCGGTACGTAGAGATAGTGACTGGTGCTTCGGGGTCCTTAGAACCCCGGATGGTATAATATAGGTATGCAGAGATACTGGCTGGTGTTTCGGGTTCCTTAAGACCCCAATATGATATCAGGGCGGTACGCAAAGGGCGTTATTGGCGCAGCAGGGTCCCTAACACCCCAGGATGAAATCAGGACCGTATGAAGAGGGCACGACCAGTATAATCATTGTCCTTTAATATTTTCCAGAGTTAATTTAATTTATTTCTTTTATATTTTTTTGCTTATTAAATAAGCTCATAGAAGGGGAATAACATTTATAATTATATCCCACTTCTACGTCTTAACTGAGGACCCCATCTATTTTATTTTTTCTAGTTATTATATAATTTTACCCCCCATTATAGGCCAAGGCCATCTTTGCATCCCTTACATCCCTGCATTCCTTCCATCCCTGCACACCTTAGATTCCAGCAAACGCTTAAATCCCACCATTTTTTTTTTTTTTTTTTTTAACGTGGTGGAAATCTTCAGAAAGACACCTTCAGCCCCCCTGGGGAGGGGCCGGAGGTAGTGTGGGATTTTTACCCACTAAAACCACCACGGTGGCCTGCACTGGCGCTGTACGGAGGGTCCTTTGACCCTCCGCCATGTGCCAAACTCCGCCGACAACGGGGGCCACACCCGATGCCGACACTCCTGGGGCCGCGTGCAGTGGAGACCAGGGCCCCAGCCCAGGACCCCTACGGCATATTTTACATCCCTCGCTTAGTTAGATCTCTGCACCCCCTACATCCCTGCATTCTTTTCATCCATACATTCTTTTCATCCCTTCATTCTTTTCATCCCTTACATCCCTACATTCTTTTCAATCCTACATTATTTTCATCCCTACATTACTTACATCTCTTCATCCCTTAGATCCCTAGATTACTTTCATCCCTATATGCTTTTCATCCCAACATTCTTTTCATCCCTACATTCATTTCATCCCTACATTCTTTTCATCCCTACATTCTTTCCATTCCTACATTCATTTCATCCCTACATTCTTTTCAATCCTACATTCTTTTCATCAATACATTCTTTTCATCCCTACATTCTTTCCATCCCTACATTCTTTCCATCCCCACATTCTTTCCATTCCTACATTCATTTCATCCCTACATTCTTTTCATCAATACATTCTTTTCATCCCTACATTCTTTCCATCCCTACATTCTTTCCATCCCTACATTCTTTCCATCCCTACATTCATTTCATCCCTATATTCATTTCATCTCTACATTCATTTCATCCCTACATTCTTTTCATCCCTACATTCTTTCCATCCCTACATTCATTTCATCCCTCCATTCATTTCATCCCTTATATCTCTGTATCCCTTAGATCCCTGCATTCTTCACACATTTGCAACATTTTTATGCAAAATCGTGCAAAATTTAGTTCCCCTTTTCGCCACCAGAGGGCGCTGATTGGACCTCGAAATTTTAGTTCAAATTTTTGCCGCTAGAGGGCCAAAAATTGAGCATGATTTAGTTCCTTTTTCCAAAACCAGATGGCGCGGATTCAACATCGAAATTTTAGTTCAAATTTTTGCCGCTAGGGGGCGCTATTTTCGCGGGGTTTTCGCGAAAATCTCAAAAATAGCGCCCCCTAGCGGCCAAAATTGGAACTAAAATTTCGATGTCGAACCAGCGCCCTCTGGTTTTGGAAAAAGGAACTAAATCATGCTCAATTTTTGGCCCTCTAGCGGCAAAAATGTGAACTAAAATTTCGAGGTCGAACCAGCGCCCTCTGGTTTTGGAAAAAGGAACTAAATCATGCTCAATTTTTGGCCCTCTAGCGGCAAAAATGTGAACTAAAATTTCGATGTCGAATCAGCGCCCTCTGCTGGCGAAAAAAGGAACTGAATTTATACTTAAATATGAAAGGGATGCAGTAATGTAAGGGATGAAGAGATGAAAAGAATGTAGGAATGAAATGAATGTAGGGGTAAAAGGAATGCAGGGATGAGAAGAATGGAGGGATGAAAGGAATGCAAGGATGAGAAGGATGGAGGGATGAAAGGAATGCAGGGATGAGAAGGATGGAGGAATGAAAAGAATATAGGGATGAAATGAATGTAGAGATGAAATGAATATAAGGATGATATGAATGTAGGGATGAAATGAATGCAGGGATGTAAGGAATGCTGTGATATAAGCGATACAGGGATATAAGTATTGCAAGGAATGCAGGGATGTAAGGGATACAGGGGTGTTAGGAATACTGAGATGTGAGGGTTGCTGGGACGAAAGGAATGTAGAGATAATAGGAATGCAGGTATGTAAGGGATGTGGAGATGTAAGGAATACAGAGATGTAAGGGATGTAGAGATGTAAGGAATTCAGGGAATGTGTGAGAAGCTGTGATGTAAGAGATGCTGGGATGTAAGGAATAGAGAAATGTAAGGGAGTAATAAAATCAGCACGTTCAGTCTCCTAATGCGTTTATCCAATAAATTAGGAATGCAGAAAATAAAATAAGGGTATATGTATGTTTAACAAGTCGGTCTGCACCCCTAGACGGTCGCTATAAGACTGATGCTGTTTCACTTCGCTCTAGGTCGGACGATTAACAACGGTGCCATAGCCAGCTACCTTTACCCGAATCAGTGGCGCCAGGGGTCCTGACGGCCCCTCTAGAATTGGCAATGCTAACTTCAAGTTGTTTTAAACACAATTAACAAGTATATTGTGTTTTAAATGTCATTATTGTCGTTATTGTCATTAATGTAATTACTGAAAATGTCAGATACCAAAGAATTTTTCCTTTCTGTCACACAACGTATTTTTAGTAATTGGACTGCATTGAGAGTAAGTGTATTACTTTTTCTTGTAGTTTATAGTAAAATGTATATGTTGTTTTGTCACAACTATGTTTTTTATTAAATATACATATCTTTATTATATATTAGATGGCAGTGGAACATGGAATGGGATCAAAGGAAAGAGCAGTAGATTTCTGTCCTTATATGACAGAGGTTATGTACATGAATGGTGTGTAATTTCATCTATTTTCTTGTACATTTTTATTTTGATCTCTTTGTAATTATACTGTTACGATATTTGTTTAGAGAATCTAAGTAGCACTGAAGTTGCTACCGAATTAGAGGATTATATGGAAGAATATTTTAGTACAGAGCTTCAAGATGACAGTGCAATACAAATTGCAGAAGAGTTATTAAGATTCCATCGCTATTGTATTGAAAATAATGAAAACGTGGCAACGATAGAGTTTGGTAAACTACCACCATTGCAGTCATGGCTTGTCACAAATGAACCTGTGAAAAAGATTCATAGTTCCTATATTATGGAAAATGATAGTTCTGAGAGTGAAACAGAAGCTTCTGGGGATGTGAAGGTTGAAGATGAATGGGTAGAAGTAAGAACTAGGAGAAAAAGATAACTGAGGCAGAATGTTTAAAATGATATTCTTTTATTTTACTTTTTTTTTTTACAAAAGGATAGATTAACAAAGAATGTATAAACTACTGTTTTACAGTACATGTGCATTGGTCTTACAGTTGCAATTGATATGCTATAATTTTGTAATCAAATACTTATCTAAACAGTCTTTTATGTATTATCAAATATTACTTGGCAGTTCTGGTCCCTGAATCTGTAAAAAAATAACAATTATGTAAAAGAATATTAATAAACTTCTTTTTAGTATCTTTGGTTTTATCTTTATGAAATATTACCTTTTTCATTTTGAGATAAAGGAACATTACAGTATCCATTATGTTCCGAAACAACAGTCTCCTTCTTTTCTACTTTAGTTCGCATTTCATTAGGGCCTGCTAAACTCAAAATGGTCGGTAAGAACAACAGTCCATGGAACAGACCAAATACCACTACACAAGTGAACAACTGAAATTATAAAAGTTTTTATTTATCTAGAAAATGAAAAAATTAAAAATTTTCTTGCAATCTTACCTTAAAAAAAGTACGAAATATATAAGCCTCGCTAGAACCTAACAGAACAAATGCCAGAAATGTACTTAAGCCTCCGTTAAACACAGCTGGGCCAATAACAGAAAGTGTTGCGATCGCACGTTCTATAAAAATCATATATATTTTTTACTTAACTTAGTGTTTCGACTTTACAACTATATATTGCAAGCAAATTCCATGAAAATTTACCATTTTTACTGCCCTTTACACGTATAAATTCTAAACCAATATGGGCAGCATAATCGACTGCCAATCCCGCGCACAATAAAGTGGTGATGCTCGAAGATATTTCAACAGTCAAATTCAGAAAGTACATGGAACCTAATAAGTCGACGAGAGTGAAGAAAACACAACAGAGTACCCAGAACGATGTTTGTAAATTTCTAAGGAATATCACTATTACTACTCCAATAGATACTATTTCTAAAGACAAGTTTCTAATTAGTTCTTCTCCTATAATCTGTAAAGAAACAAGCACTGACATAATGCTACTGTGAACAAGGATATCAATACTGAAAGTTCTATCTTTACCTTGTTTGCTGTCCATGAAACATAATCATGCGAAAAAATGGCAATGTAATTGTGCCCCTGAGAAAAGTTTGTAGCCTGAATTGTTTCTCTGATGGATTGCATTGCTTGTATTTGCTGCGACGTTGTATTAATCAGAATGTGTTGTATTGGAATTTGTGATGTCTAACAGAACAAAGAAATGAAATATGTAATCTTTTTAAGAATATACATAACTATAAATTGCCGGACATTTATCTGTACCGTTATATTGTATTCCCCAACTGGCAGCTTATCAAAACTTATATCCTTGATGTACACTTGTCCTTCTTTCGTTAAAAGTAAGTATTCTGTCAAGACATTGTAATATTCTTCTTCGCTTTCAATATCATCTGTAATTAAACTCTTACTATATATCATTTGCATAGCTGGTTCAGAAACATGGTCGCTGTTAAATTTGGCTTACTTTTGTTAGTGTCGTTTAGCCATTTTTCATAAGCAATGAACCAGGGATCTAGGGTATTATTATTAACAAACTGATTGCGTTTGAGAACATCCACAAGCTGGTAAAGAGCTTCACGGTCCTCGTAATAGTCTACGCCGGTCATATAAATTGCAGCTCGTTTTCCATACTTTGGAAAATATTCTTTCAGCTTTTCATTGAACTGAATTGGATAAGAATCTTGATTTAAGTACCAGAGGGGGTCGAAATTCTGCTCCAGCTGAAACACTGCCCATGCGTTGATACATAAAAAGATAGCAGTGATCATCAGGATAACTACTTTCGTCGAGATCTTGGTGATTCTTGGCCCAATGTAATTCTCGAAAATAATCTGCTGAGTATTCCTCTGACTGCATTCATTTGGTTTCCAGTTTAATCTTGGACGACAGAAACAGCCGTCCTTTTGTGCTTCAAGTCTCTTCTCGTCGTACACCAAGCAACTTATGAAAAATGTAATCTCGTACACGTACAAGAACATAATTCCAAGAGTGGCAAATACGTAAAATGATCCAAGACACGGCATTATACTGGTAACACCAAAGGCGAATGCGGTCATGTTTGTAAAGGATGTGACTGTGATGGACATACCTTTAAAAAAGGGAACAGAATATTGTTATTCATAATTCCATAATATATCTCTAATTGTTAATCGTACCAGCTTGTTGAACAGTTTTAGCGATGCGTATGGGAATTCCTGAAGACTGATCCGTCTCTGACAAATTATTCAGACTTTGCATAATAACGAACATGTTGTCAACGCCTATGCCGAGCAAGAGGAACGGTAGAATGGAATGTATGGGTCCATAGGAGTATCCCAGATAGTAGCACAACCCGTAGGACGACAAAATCGCTTGACCAACCACAGACACCCCCATCACCGACAAATAAATCCGTTGTTCTAGCGCGTTGCATTTACCGATCATTGCCATCACGTAAACAGCGATCAAAGATATTCCACAGCCCAATACCATGAAATTACTGTTCAAGATTTGCTGCAAAGAGTCAAGATAACTTCGCGTGGCGATGGCGTATACCTTCATTCCCGGAGGTAACGTCCTATTCGTGTAAAGAACTCGATTTATAAATTCCAATTCCCATTCAGCCGAATTTTGATTAGACTTCTTCAGCATCCAGTTTAAGATCGTCGCGTTTGCGCTTTTCACCCGACCTTTTCGGTCGTAAACGATGCCCGACAGAAGGGGAACAATGTCGTGCAATGTGTTTTTAATTCTGCAACAGATTTTTATTGTAAGCTATTAGAGAATGAAAATTTTCGTTTAAAGACTCACTTGTGTTTCACCGCCTTGGTCACATCTTCCAGCACCTCCTTCTTCGTCAGATTACGAACATCCTTTAACAAGGTATTCTCCCAGAGTTGTAAAATTGATTGATATATACAACCGTCCACCATCATGGTGTTCAATTGTTCTATCATGTCCTCGGGTATTTCAAGATCCTTGAAGACATCCGTGGTGTTATCCTTGCTGAACCAGGTGAGGTATCTGCAATTCGAACAGATAGATATATAAGAAGAACGAAAGCTATCGAAAAGGTAAAAATTAAAATGAATTTTAATTTTACCCAGCACACACGTCTTCCCAGGAATTGTTATTCACCACCACGGACTTCACTGATTCTTCAATTTTGCTGATCTATGAAAAATGAAGATACACACAAGATTGAAAAGGTCGAGTTTCAAGGAACACGTGCGGTTTAGCTCAGAGATTTCAGTTTAAAGCAAATCTCGTGAGTCATAAATCCCTTGTCTCAAACAAGGATCATGCGTTAAAGTGGAAAAGAACCTTCGCAGATACTCGTATAATTCATGATCGCCTATGTACCGAACGCAGCACTTCTGGCTCCAGAACATTCGGTGCTGTAACGATGATACTTTCGTATCGAAAGTCGTCCCGGAAGTGTTTTTTCACCCAGGCTGCATCGGCGCGGATAATGGAGTCGTGGGGTACGAACAGTTTCACGTTGTCCAGCTCTTCCCTCCAGAAGAACAATCCTGACGCGCAGGCACAGTTTAGGCAGAAGGATACCAACAACCATAGCCACGGTCTTTTCCCTATGCTCAGGCCAATACTGGAAAATAATTTCTTATTTGAACCTACGTTGTTGGACAGACATTTTCATTGAAATATATTTCTCAGATTGGGAATAAATGTTCTGAAAGCTGAGTCATGAAAACGAGGTCATTCGAGAATCTATCATAACGCTGCGCTCGCGTTAAAGGATCTTCTTGGGTAGTAAAATGTTTGATCAGCACGGTGTTAGCTTGTTGGAATTATAAATTTAATACAATCCAATAATTAAAGAATAGAAAAGAGGAAGAAAATGTAATGCGACGAAGAAGAAAGTACATCTCTAATAAATCTCGGTGGCCCTCGTGTCACGGAACGTGTTAGACGAATGAAGTACTATTGTATTCTAACAGTGTAATCATATCATTAATAATTGTTATTACAACGCCTCGCGCTATGCACGTGGCTATCTTCGGTGTGGTAATAAAGTTAAACGAAACTGATCCGATTTTCAAAGGAACAATTCACACCTAGGAGATTCTAAGCATCGATCGGCCTTTGCAATTATGTAGAAATTTGTTCTTTATCGAGTTACAATACGGTTTCAGTTGAAAGGAACGACGAGCAATAAGAAAGGTAACGATCTTTAAATGAAATAACAAGAAAGTCAAAGGGTGGCGCCAGAGGAACAGACTGCCTAATATAGGCCAATTTCGTGGAACGAAATGGGCATTCAGCTAATTAAGAGGGCCGCGATGATCTCACCTTAAGTGGATGAAATTATATACAGGGTTCGAGCTCCAAAACTTGATGAGATTTATTACATATTTCGTTATCCGATTAATGTAACCCGTTCAAGACAGTGTAGAACCACGTCGCGGGTTATAAATTGCAGTTTGAGCGACAGTCATTAACGACAATTAAGATTAAATTACCTTAAAGAAGTTTTATCAATTGAATCTACAGACTAACGTCGCTTTTATTACGAAAGATATTTTTTCCTTTTATAATCAAATGTATTATGATTGTTAAAGGACAGCCTTGTCACAGCCTATGATCCGGCAATTAACTTTTCTGTATGAGACTACCGTTAATGGAAGTACTTATGTATCGATGCCAATTCGTACGAGAGAAAACCTGTTATTTAACCCAGAATTGGCATGTTTCGGTGACAATGCAAAACGCAGTTGGTGCAAGCGCGTCGCGAAAACGGAGATAATGCACTTCGGAGATCATGCTCAATTTGTCGACATCCGATCTATTTTTTCCTCTCTGAAAACTGTTTACGCCAAGGTGAGTGTCGTCGAAAAGGGGAAAAAAGAATCTATCATCCAATTGAAGAATCCTCGAATAAAATTATCTTTAAAATGTTCTATCGTACGAAATAAGTGATTCGAATCAATGATTTTTGTTTGGTAATTTCCTAAATTTATGATCGATGTTCACTCACTAATAAAAAATACGATCCACGTTCAAGTGTAGGTCGAGAAGTATATCCTTCAGCCGTTTCCACGTGATCGACGTGGGCGCGTTTCCTCTCGTCTGGGTTTCCATCCTGGTGGTGCGACGCTCAGGTCGTTCCGTGGCCGAATGTCCACTGAGAAAGCGTTGGCGAGCTGAGTGCTGAGTACAGCAGACTGCATGTGACCAACGTTGCTAGTAATCTACCACAATTATATAACGTGCGCTTCGAAGCTTTGCCTGTACGAGGAGGAGCACGAACGTGGATCACCCCTCCTTATTGTCTTCGCGCAGAGGGGTCATTGTTTTCGATGTTTCACCGAACTACCAGATTTCAGAGTCCTGAAGACGAAGATACCAGGAAGAAACGAAGCTGTACTTCGCGTGGATCATAAATTGTAAACGGAATACGACTCTTGTACAATGGAATTAATAAAGTATAGGATCATTCAACTTAATGTTTCGTAGAACCACTTTTACTTCGTATTCCTTCACCAGTTTCCTTCCTAACGCTATTAGCGCTCATTAGCAGGGGTAAAAGCGTGCAAACAGAGTCAGTTTTGTTGAATCAGGTAAGTAGCTCACGCATGCTCTATCTTTGAAACTGATGTCGATCAGGGTCTCTCATCAACAATGTCATAGCTTCGAGCAAGCATTCGAAAGGCAATGGAAACAAAATGCTTAAACTACCGTTCGATTTCTATACTGCCGACAGAAATCGCTCGATGCACATTTCGTATCGTAACGATACTTTGAAACCGCGGATCTAACTAGTTGACCCACATATTCTTCTAATTATCACTCTTCCTCGAAAGTTGTCGATCGTGAGACGACTCGAAGTTTGTTGCTCTTCGTAATCCCGTCGTAAATTAAGGAAAAAGAGAAATAATTTCTTTGCATTTCTATGCGCTTAATATGCGCTATACATTGAATTCAAGCGATGACGCACCGTGTGGGTCATGCGTTATCAATTCGATATGATCGATGATGCACCACGCGCGTCTTACAGTGAAATTATTATAGTAAAATATAACAATTGTAACATAGTAATTAGAAAAAGGAAACGATTTCAACTCTTGCGGATCCTTTTATAAGATCACACTATGAATACCCGAAGGAATTGGTTTTATCCAAGATCAATGGAGGCTATTTTGTAAGGAAAACAAAGTTACTTATCGCATTAGTCGAGCATTTTCGACCAGGTAACGAGGGGGGCCGGCTTTGTAAGCTCGACGAAGGTAGGGGAGTAGACAAGAAGTGAATGCCTTTCTCATCATCCGTGGATCTTCAGTATTCCTGGTTCCAGTCGGACCGATGGATGGTCTCTCTTCTCGTGTGCCGATTTATTTCGCGATCTATGATTGAATCGTGAGAAATTCGAAAGATCGTGATAGTGAACGCCAGTGTTCGATCATTGTTTAATTATTGTGAGTAAACATTCGATGAATTTCTGTTTGATCGCAATCCAGTATTACAAAGTGGTAATCGATATTATCCTAGCACCGTAATTAAATAAAAAAAATTAAAACAAGTTATTAAATGAAATCTTCTTAGATTAAAACGTTCGGAGAAACAGAGTTGTATTAAGAATTCAATTAAAATAAGTAGGTGATGATAATTAGAGATGTAGCTCGTGGCTGTTTCGTTTTTCATCCACGGTCATATCGAATAATTATCATTTACGGTGCACGGAGTTTCTATTTCTTTTTCCTCTTTACGTTCCTATGAATGATTCTGGCGAGTTAATGTTTTTACGCCAAGGAAGATCGCAATCTCCTCTAACGTCAGACACAATTTGTTTTACAATTCTGACAGAATGCATAAGCAGTTTCTCGAATGGTGTCGATAGTCGGTCGTCGAGTGGCTGAAGGAAATCAAAGCGTTTTTTTTTTTTTCCCCTCGAATTTCGGTCGATCGCTGAATTCATAATGGCTTAACGGTTTTTAGAAAGTCTTTACTCTGCAGATCGACAGAAAATTTTCTTAAGAATCGCTAAATATCATGTATTCGGAATGCACGATTAATAGTCGTCACCGTTCGAAAGAAGAAATATATGAATATAAAATTTGGAGAGAAATACTGTTAACGCTTTACGAAAGGAGGTTTCGTCCAGTCTAAATGATGATTTGCATATCGTTTTCGAAGAGAAAAATTGAAAAGATGTTTCGGAGCTGACCCTGAACTCTTCTAGAAGAGCACAGTACACGTGGTTCGAGTTTTAAGCAGAGCCACTCTCTCTGGACGACTTTTTCCTACGTTTCAGATCGTACATTCGACACTTTTCTTTTCGATGATTCATCGTTCCTTCGAAGATATTGTTTTCCAACGATAAGTTTCAAATTCGAGAGAAATGATTCGTATTTTTATATTGTAATAGAAACGGAGGAAAAAGAACGTAATTATTCTACGATGCTTCGATTTATCTTGTTGCAAACCGGATGAAAGATTCACGAGCTTCCGTACGAACTGTTTTATATACATACACATCAAGGATTCAATTGCAACAGACTGAATAGATAAGTTTTTTATAGAAAACTAATCGGAGCAAGGGATCTTCGCGTTTGTACCTGCATTCACCTTGACCGAAGAAAGTGTTATGCGGGTCTTTAACCCAGGTCGTCTGATTCATGTAGAAACTATAATTAATGGTAACTCATTTTCTTCCGGAGTTCCTTTCAACTTATATACAAAGTACAATATTACTTTTATAAAGAAGATGATTGAAAGTGACTTACATTCTTACTAAACAAAATGGAATATTGTATTTGGTTATTATAATGTTTTATACCTTCTTCCTGGTACGAAGAAACAGGAATGAAAATAGAATACAAAAGAAGGTTAGTCAAAGAAAGGCGTTGGTCAGACTTCATTCTCTACAAAGAGTGACGTTAGTGTCTCGTGAACGTAGCATCTGCATAGCTTTCTTTATTTCTCCTCCTTGACCGACAGCAGTGTAAGTGGAACAACAGGAAAGAATTTTACGAACTTTGATTCTAGAGTCCTATATATCGGTAACTCCAACATTTACAAGTAGGGTCCAATACTTAAAAACCCTATTCTTCAGTAGGTTCGTTGCTTAGAAGATCCATACTTTGATAATCTCGATATTTACAAATCTTATACTTTCCTGTGTCCATTATTTAGATATAATAATTCTATATTTCAATAATACCCTTGTTTCTTCACATTCTGAAATCTCGTGATTTTAGAACTATGAAGGGGTCAACATTCTTCCTCGTTCTGGCGGCAGGATTAGCGAACGCTCAATTAAACTTTGAGGGTAATCCACTGACTGAGAACACGGAATACAAAGCCGAAGAATCACGATCTTCGGAAAATACCGCAAGGCAGGAAACCACAGCAAATGTGACGACTGTGGTCACGGAACATTCCGTTCGGAATGTCTATCCGCTAGCCGAATACGTTAAAAATTCATCGGAGAACATTCTGATGGATCATCAAAAGTTAACAGCTGATCCAGAACAGAAAGAGAACTCTGTCGTTGTTCAAACAGCTCGACAACTATCCTCGAATACCTACAATCCAGGGGCCACATCCGTTAATCCAGCAATGGCATTGAATTCGTTTCTGAACTCTAAGACACCCGAAGAATCGCGTCTGTCGTTGAATCATTATTTGCAAAGCAGAGAAATTTCTCAAAATACTGCGGTTCAAGAGCAGACAACTGTACGAACAATCAATGACCAGCAACAATTTATGCCACGACTCGATCAGCAATCAGCTATCGTATCTCCGGTGAATCAACAGCTGACCTCGCAATTGATGCAACAACGACAAATGTTGCAAGCTTACCCTGTTAATCAACAACAATTCAACGAACAGATGTATAATACTCCTGTGAATCTTCAGGATCTTCGTTCACCTCTGTCGAACACTGTAGCTACTTCTTTGATGCAGCAACAATTGTTGCAACCTTACGTAACCGGGTTGCAACCGAGAAACGACGTGTTCTATCCTGCCGGATGGCCTCATCGCGTGAGAAGAGTACGTGGGAAACCATTTCCCTATGCACAATCCAGAGGAGGCCCTGGATTATATGGACCTCCTCCTCCAAGTGAGTCTCCGATAGAAAGTTCAATTATCTCGAGGCTTTCCAATAAAGTAATTAACACTCTGTGATCGATCGAAGACGTAGGACCTAGTGTAGAAATATCAATGTGTACTTACGTTAGAAATTGGTGCAAATGAAGTAATATGCATCAATTAATACTAATTTCTTCACTTTTCCAGTTCCCTTCAAGCAAAAAGGCCCACCTATTGAGGTGATCTACACGAAACCACCAGGATTCCATCGAGGACCACCAGCACCTCTCAGCAATCCTCCAGTACCGTACGAGGATGCCAGTGCCTGGTTCCCAGAAGCGCATCATCCACCATCTAAAAAAGACGTATATTACTCTCAGCTCTATGCCCAATCCTACGATCCTCACTATTACAACTACATCGCCAAAACGGGCAAGATAAAGCCTCACCTGTACGGAAAGCTTGGCAAGTATCGCGAAGAAGAGAGCGACGGAATCTGGGCAGAATTGTATCGGGGTTTTAAGAAACACGGCCTGAAGAACATCATGACACCGACTTTTCTACTCGGTATGACTTTACCTGTTGTCACTTTGATGCTCACCGCTCTTGTGCAGAAGAGATCAATCTCGAGATCCGATTCGAGGGAGCTGTCGAAGGAGGACGCGATTCAGGAATACCTGGAACAAATCCAAAGAGCCGTCGAATGTTATGAGAAGAAGAGGAGGAAGAGGGAGGCAAACGTAGACGGGTGTTAATATTATCAGTCAGATTCTTTCGATTAACTTATTAAACGTGAAAGGGTGATTGATAGAAGAGAGAATGTAGAGTTAGGGATGGGATCAAGTTTCGGTACACGTTGACTTAGAAGTTAAGTCTCTTTTTGGAAGACTAGTTGGATCCCATCTCTAATCGAGCGCACAAATGCTGTACATATTTCGTGTAGTATAAATAATAATGATAATGTAACCAATGGTTTAAAAATAGAGAGTACTTTCTCTTGCGATGCTTTCCTCGTAACCAACGACTTATCATGTGCGATTAACTGTTTTAAGTTGTGGTAAATAGCTCCGAGGTGTATCGATGAGAGTAGTAGGTGACAGTGAAAGAGTTGCTATATTGATAGCGTCAGCGTGAGAAGCGAACTTTCACGGGTCAATTACCTATAACCCTGTTTGTATATCCACGTGCTGGTGGGTGTGCAGCTAGTGCATTTAACCTGTTAACCAAGGGAAGACGAGTTAATTCGTCGTTCGACTGAAAGGCACGCAGAGAGACTAATAAGTAGCATTCCATTCATTTTTAATTAACACTTTAGATAGAATCTTCTTCGAATTTTCATTTATAATATAAAAAATGGACTAATGATTGGTGACATTGGTGTTAATTTTTTATTATTCGTTTCGAAAGTGAAAGATGAAGAAAATTCATTAAACAATGTACTAGTAATGTTTCATCCGTTCTCCGTGAAACTTTTACTTTTGCAGTAAACTACTTGACGACCTAAACTAGTACCGTCGATCTACATCGCGTTTGTAGTTCAATTTTTGTTGTCTCTTTATTAGATGCATGTACAAGCCATAGTGGGAAAAAGTAAAACATAGTTGAAACCTGATTGCAATCGTTATTTCTTTATTCCGTCACCCCTTTTCTTGTGCCCGCACGGAAAGATTCTTCGCTTGGTGTCTACCAATATTTCGAACGAGTCCTGAATTCCAAATTAAAAATGACATCCGCGATTAATAGACGTGCATCACGACACAGAAATGGTTAACCGGTTCGGGCCATTCAATGCCGCCGATTCTACTCATCGGGTTTGATCAATAAGCCCAGAACCTGTTCTTTTAAACTGGACTAGCGGACATTCGGTTCCCCGGATCTTTCTCGAGTAACCGATTTATTTTTAATGTATGAAATTTTTGAAAGACACGGTATTTTCTGATATGAGACTTTATTTTTAAAGAGGGGCTAGTCCATTTTTTATTACTGAAAGATATTAAGATTTTATTAAAATTATTAAAAAATTTAAGATGAAATATTATAGCTTATAAAATCTTTCAACTCTGTTCATGTATTGACGTAATTCAAATACACGATGCTGATTAGTAGCCTGGAGATAAGGTCAATTACGATAACTCGGGCGTTAATGAAGCCGTGAATTAAGCGCGACTTCGCGTTCAATGAAGTGACTCGTTTGATATTCTTCGAGCACTCGAGAAAAATATTCATCGAGAAGAAATTGACCGAGATTTCTTCTCTTCCGGAAACAGCAACGTGTTCGAAACACGTATGCAAAAGATCTGAAAAAAAAAAAGAAAAAATTAATAAATCATCAATGAACTCCAGTCGAAATAAATTTATTCCGCGTGGACATCGACGAGTCGATGTGTAATCAAATTATTCCATCGAATAATTGATGGTTTAATTCACAGGTCATGAGACTCGGACGTTATACACGCTCCATCAGGGTGAAGTTCACCTCTTGGTCATTTAAGGTTCAAACGAGATGCCCCGGAAGTCGAACATTCAATTTTCTAACACTATATAGTTATTAGTATCCAATAACATAGCTAGTTTGTTAACGAAAAATATATTTTATATTTCTTTGCTTCTATTTGTTCTACAGATTCAACTCTTGTCTGAGAAATCGGTTTCAAAGAAATAGTAGTATAGTGTTTAATATACTTGCACAAAGTAACATGGTACCCTATTAAACTATAATTCAAATATAAAGCACAAACAATTTAATGGTATCGCTGACAATACAAAAATATATTGTTAAAATCAATAGCTTGAATATCGATAAAATACTTATAACGAAAATATATCACAGCTCCTGAAGCGATTTCTGTCTCTGATGCTTCACGATTTTTGCGCGCAAAGGAAGAGAATGTAGTTCATTGAAAATTTCACAATTCGGGTGACAATTAATTAATTGAGTATTTACGCATTTTTCGTGTCTATCAATGTTCAAAAATCGTTTCAAAGAATAAGACAAACTTACGAAGATTATTATTATTTTTTTTTTTTTTTCAAAGAAGAATAATCATATTATGGCACATCCTGTGGTTTTCGCAGAAGACACAGGTGTAGGAGAACAGGACAGAATAAACGAGCATACAATTTACTAAAATAGGTTCTAATTAGCTCCATAAAAGTCAGAGATACTTTTGCGGATGAGGTTTCGATATAAATTGATTACTGTAACTAAGAAACATGGGTACATGGTGTGTATTGCTTTCAATTCTTGCAACACTCTACATAATATCTATGTATAATAGCGTACACTTGCCTTTCTTCGTTACCTACAACATTACTGGTATTGCAGAACACTTTCCTGCAATGTAAGTCAAGTAATAACTATCTCTCTGTCTCACTTGAATTTCTTCTAGAATTAAAACAGGTCATGGACGTGGATGGTCAGTCTTCGTCCTCGATACAAGTCTCAATGTTTCTTTTACTTTTTGTTTTCAATGTGCATTTGTTGTGTCCTACTAACTACAATCAGTTGAACCATAGTACTCTTGTACAATGTGCGCTTTTAGTTACTTTTTTGTTTCCTGCTAGCCAGTTTACTGCACATAAGGAGAACGCTTATAATTCAATATTTATATCTTTTGGACATTTGAATCGTTATTAATTATTGACACGAATAACGTAGCTGATCCTTTTACATGTTTCATACTAATAAGAATTATAGTTTGCTACTGGTACAATTTGGTATGTACATAACAGTGAAATTGTTCTTTGAGACTAGATGATATTTAGTATATAAAAAGCGATGTTCACTGATACATACTGAATCAAAAAGTTTTAAATAATGCGCTAATACATTGAGTGCATCATTAGATTTTTTGTTAACTAAAGAAAGCACGATACGCGCTTCGCTTCCTACACGGATTTATTCTCCACTGGTAAGTATGAATTACTATCACGGCATGATAAAATCACTCTAGAACACCATGAACGAGACGTCAAAATTTAATAATATAATAAATCAACGAAAACATAAAATTAAAACTTGATATATATACACAAGTAAATATATGTGTGTGTATATATCTTTTCATAATGTACGTGTATATATATTATATACACCGCTATTTTTGAATAATTTTCTAGATACTAATATAATATAAATTATAGAAGTTTCAAATATAGATAAAATTCTATATAGGTTGAAAAATTATTTTAACTGTACCTAAAATTCTCGGTACATATTAATTGTATATATCATTGGTTCCTAAACATAATTATTAATTGTATATATCATTGGTACCTAAACATGATCATTCAATAAAAATGGCAAACAAAAGTGTCTAAAACGAATACAAAGTAATCAATTTCCTAATGATTCTACTTTCAAAAGAAGAATAGTTCCTAAGAAGATAAACGTAATATTTGCATTAGCAAAGATAAATCTACAATTATTTACTTTCTCTGACTTAATCAATATGAGAATGTGAACACTCCAAGCCTAAAAGGATCTTTTATCTAATAATTCAGTCGAATTTTTCTTCCTTAAACGCAAGATTAATAGCTTCACCGACGTCTTTCATTACGAATGCAGGTTTGCATAAACCATCTTCAACTGGTAAGAAATCTCTAGGACTATGCTCCGGTATAAAATTCGAATCTCGTTGATGAACACCAGTTTCCACTAAAATACTGATACAAGCTTTCGTGCCAGGCGGTTTGACATCCTTTCCAAGTATCTTTTTTACTTTGTCAGACTGTAATGTTTCTTCCTTTGCGCAACGAGACAAATATTTATCGTACAAATTTGCACCAAAAATGTCAGTATTGATGTTATCCCTGAAAAATACATATTAAATTTGATATTTCATTTTGTGATTTCATTTTCTTTGAATGAATTTTAGACATTGCTTACCCAATAGCATATATTGTATCAACATTGTGATCTATTCCAATACTTTTAGCATGCTCACAGAGAATATGAGTTGCATGATAATAAGTGATCACACTAGGTTTTCCGACTAGAGCAGAATACATTAAGTCTTTCCCTGTGATTTTCTTGTACAAAGATTCAAGACACACTAGAAAAGCACCATGACCGTATCTAGGAATTGGTGCTTCAGACACCCATAATAAATCCATATTACATGCCAAGACTGGAATGTGTGGATAAGGAAGTTCATCAAGCAAACCAACTGGCATGCCATTAGTCATTAAAAGATCCACTATCAATTGTAATGGAGTTTCCCAAGAAACCGGTTCGCTAAATAAGACAATACCCTCTATTGCAGGAAAATTTGGATCTATTGGTCCACATTTTGGATTTCTTTTCTCCATATTTACATAATCTAACGATGGGAAATTGTTAACTAATTCTTGTATAGTTACTGATTTTTTAAAACCTAGTTCCTTAGCTATTTCTTTGATCGGACCTTGCCCAGATATTAGCATTTGCTTATTGTGAAATTGTTCAAATAATCTTAATGGTGAGTGAGCCATGATCACTTGGGATTCTTTTACTTCGTATCCTATCCATCTGGACAAATCTGCTGCTTTCTGGCTACGCAAAGCATTTCCACTATTTGTAACAAATACAGTTGGTACTCGAAATTTGCCATCTTTTCCTTGAAGTTGTTTGAAAGCCTCTGGCACAGGTGGTAATACATTTTTTCCACGTACTATTACACCATCAATATCAAAGAGAAAGCCAAATTTTGGCTTAGAACTTAATTGCTGAAAATAAAAAAAATAAAAAATATTAATACATATGTACATCATTTCTGTAACAAATAATATATTGTTCCTTCACATATTTCCTAACAAGTTCTACAGTTACTTCATATTTTTGGAGCAATATAATGAAACAGCTACAAAGGCCTTGAAACTGGATATAAAAATACACTTGTTATATTGATGCAAATACCAAGGATTATATTTTTACACCAGCACATAATGCAATATGTTATAAATTGTACATCACTTATTTTAACTAATTTTAGAGTAAGAAAAAAATTTTTTAATTGCGTGTACCATGAATGTAAAGTTTTATGGGAAAATCAATTAAAACAAATGAGCGAAGTTCTTATGAAATGTTCGATATGTTTAAATTGATTTGAAGAATGTAGGTCGTCTGATATGTCATAAACAAAAGAAGGCATGTGTGACGGATCCACCTTGAAGTGCAGAAACTGCAATCGAACATAACAATGAAGTATGAAATGTAACTCACTCTGACCCCCGTAAACCTCGTGACGTTTGGCCTTAACAATACTTTCATTATTGCCATTCTGGCAGTGACAACTGCAAATGACGTTTCAATGAATTATATCTTAATGTTACACTACGTTCAAAGAGTACTTCTCACAGATTGATTATGCATAATGTAACGTTTTTAGGTTATAATGATCTACAGAACGCACAGTAGATTTGATTGTATTTTTCCCACGTGCCGTAAGAGGACACAGTCCACAGTGCACAATGCAACTAACATTATTTCCTGTACGTGACAGTGTCTTCAGTTACAGCTTACAGATTCATTGACAATCAATTCTAAAGATAAAGCTGTAGTTATCTAATAAATGTTCCAGTATCTATATATGTATATATTCCATATTTAGGCAGCATTTAATTAATTGAGTTGAGAACATTGAGCTGAGAAGTACAGTCGATTTCGAATCTTTTGCCAGTTACCAACTGTCAAAGAAAAGTTTTTAGTATTGAGTATAGTTTTTTCAACTAAGGCGATACTAGGGTGGAGGGCGAACTTCGAATTCCGCGTCGGTAAAACAGTCAATGTTTCATCGAAAATTAGAGCGAACAGAAACTGATTTAAGCGCCACCTCAATTATCGCATGCTATCAACTAACTGCATGCTATACTACCTCACCTTTCGCATACATCTAAATGACACGTGTATGCTACGATAACTATACCGCAGTTCACCAGAGTCCATAACTGCGAAAAGACCAGTTTTCGTTCTTCGCGCTTCTCCAGTGCGCATCTTCGCCCTGATTGGCGATACTTCCAAACGAAGTGAAAAGCGATTAGCAGAGAGCTCGCTGCATTCCCCCACCATCTTCCAACCTGCGCGTCGCAGTTATGGACTCTGGTGAACTGCGGTATATATGTATAAGTACTTACATAATTAAATAATACTGAAGAAACAACTTCGTTCTTTCTAAATTCCATATTTTGTGATTTTCTTTTCATTTTATTTTTAACCAACTTCGAAAAGAAGGAGGTAATTAGTTAGAAATCATACAAGTTCCTTTTTTAGGAACTATAAAATTACAATAGTTGTACTTTCTATATGATAATATTGCATTCCCGAAAATACTTTTCTGAATTTAAACTATTGTTTCCCAATTAAAAAATATATAAATCTTTTTATAGTAGCTCTTAGCTTGATATCGCTTTCTAAAAGTTATCTTTAGAAAACGATATCAATTTCCAGGTCACACCACGTGGAGGTGGCTACGTTAGTGACCCACCCTAAAATCATAAGAACGTGAAACCATTCAAAACAGACAACATAAAATAAAAATTTAAGCAATACAATCTTGAAATAGAAAATAAAATTAACATCCTAATATCAGAAACAATTGAGAAAATAATAATAATTTACCAATAAAATGCTGTAACGGAAAACATAATTATTAGGATTAGATATACAATAACGTGAAACCATTCAAAACAGACAACATAAAATAAAAATTTAAACGATACAATCTTGAAATAGAAAATAGAATTAACATCCTAATATCAGAAAAAATTGAGAAAATAACAATTCAACAATAAAATGCTGAAATAGAAAATATAATTAACATCATAATTTCTGTAACAATAAACAAAATAACAATTCAACAATAAAATGCTGAAATAGAAAATATAATTAACATCATAATTTCAGTAACAATTAAAAAATAATTCAACAATAAAATGCTGAAATAGAAAATATAATTAACATCATAATTTCAGTAACAATTAACAAAATAACAATTCAACAATAAAATGCTGAAATAGAAAATATAATTAACATCATAATTTCAGTAACAATTAAAAAATAATTCAACAATAAAATGCTGAAATAGAAAATATAATTAACATCATAATTTCAGTAACAATTAAAAAATAATTCAACAATAAAATGCTGAAATAGAAAATATAATTAACATCATAATTTAAATTACAATTGAAATGAAAAATACCGAGAACAGAAAATATAATTACCATTACAATACACTGAACCTATTCAAAATAAGAACATGAAATATAATCGATGTGCAAATCAATAAGAAAAGAATAATTTATTTCAATAAAGTAATAAATGAAAAATAAATAGGGGAAATAAAATCGCGAGTTGACCATTCAACGAGCTGGGTATTGAACTCGTAAAATGTCGAGTTCAATACGTCCTGGACGGTATTATTCATACCGTTCAAGGAAAAACACAAAAAATGAAAAAACAAATTAGCGAGCATAGTGACAGAATGACTGTCCATCCAAAGATGGAGAGCCATTAGTAGTTCCCCTCTTCTGGGCAAATTTTGCCGGGGCTCTTCAGCATATAGCCTCTTCTTTCTTCGGCAATAGCCTCACAAAAATCACTCGCGAAAATTTTACGTTTGCTCAGACATTTGTAAAAACGTAACACGTAAACGAGCAACGATCCCTTGAATCGCTACTCGCATACCTGCACAATTTTTGCAAATGTCCAAGCACAAAACACTTTTAATTTCACTTCACTTCACTTCACTTCACTTCACTGCACTTTCACTTTAATACTTCATTTTTGTAATCGGGTCTAGTACCACGACTACGACTTACAAACTAATAAGGCTTGGCCTTAAAAAAATCAAGAGAGAATGCTAAATTAATTAATTAATCAACTAATTAATTTGCATTTTCATTTTTCCTCTCGATTTTTTAATTTCCAACCCCAGATACAAGCTTCTCACGTATTAGAGGAGAATACGAAGAGAAACATGAAAGCTTGCTCTGGCCCTGCCTACTTATAAACTAAACTCAATCACACCAGAAGTAAACTACCTGCCTGCCTATCGCTATATTTAAAAAGGGGCAAAAATCATTCTCACAAAAATTCACTCCACGGTTCTCATACAACCACCCGGGTGCAAAAATGCCTACACCTAGGGAGAACGTCCCGGGACGCCTCCGACACCCGAGTTCAATTCAACTTTCACACTCTAATAAAATCATACCTTTTTGCTGAAATCGACTGACAAATAATAGTGAACATTATACTAAAGTAATACATTTCATTTTCGTATTCTATTGAATTATCTAATGTAAAAATTTTTCAATTTATTCTTGATAAGTATTTTGTAATGTTATATGTAGTAAGTTAAGATTGTTAATAAACGATACAAATCCCACATCCTAACCACACACACACATGTGGAACTTATATCGTGGTTCACTATTGGTTCACTACTTTTGTCAGTCGCCAAAATGTCACTTAAAACTAAACCTTGTCCACCGCCCTCCACCCACGCGAGTACATCTAAGTACCCGAATGAGCTTTGGGCATAAAAATGAACAAGGCCAAAGGTATTTTCACCTACCAGTTTTCTTCATGTGTGCTGAAATGCCTAAGCTAAAACGTATGATTAGCAAAAACTAAAGATGATATTCTCACTTTATTAAAAGTAAGAATATTGGCGAAATTTCACGGCTCCGATTTAGTATATGGGCTGGCCCCCCCAGGGGGTTTTATTTTTAATAAAAGTGACTCGACTTTGCAAATATAAAGCTTGAAGAGCAAATACAGAAAAGCAAAATTGAGCAACTATGACATAAAACATGGTGCACTGCTAATATCAGTTGGCAACGGAGGTTCTTAGGCCCCCTGGACTTGCGCCCGACGCTACATACCACCCACCCCGCCTGGACGTCGTAACGCCAGGACAGGATGCACCCCTTCGCTAAGAGCGCTACCCGCCCGTCCAACACGTTGCATCCAACGTGTCAGATTGACGGACGCCCCTAGTATAGACAAAAGGACTACAGTTTAGAATATGGTAACATATTTTCATATGTTCCGTATTCTAAAGCTGCGCCTGTAAAGGCCTAGTAATGCATGGGTTTATCTCCCATGAGATGGTGTTTCACGGTCTTATGCCGCGGAATCCTTGTAACTAATTTGATTAAATAAATAAAATATTGGATTGAGTTTAAAAACCAAAAGGATTCCCACCAAATACTAGTCAGTGCATTGTCATATTTACTCTCGCGTTGGAAATTTTACGCAACACTAATTAAAATAAAAAATCCTGATCTAAAAACATGACTAGTACATAAACATCTAACGGGCTAATATTTCACTATACTGGGGTATGCGGGTGGATAAATGATTATGTGATAGAGTTCGTGATGCTGAAGTGTGAATGATGAGTGTTTAGGGTCGAGAACCGTGAACGTGACAGAATGAATTTGAAGTACGAACGAAGAGCTTTCTACAATGCTTGAAGAGCAAATACTGAAAAGCAAAATAGAGCAACTATGACGTACAAACGGTGCACTTCTAATATCAGCTGGCAACGGAGGTTCTTAGGCCCCCTGGACTTACGCCCGACGCTACACACCACCCACCCCGCCTAGGAAAGGATGCACCCCTTCGCTAAGAGCGCTACCCGCCCGTCCAACACGTTGCATCCAACGGGTCAGATTGACGGACGCCCCTAGTATAGGCAAAAGGACCGCAGTTTATTAAATGGAACATATGGATGTGCGCCACATTCTAAACTGCGCCTTGTAAGGCCTAGTAATGCATGGTTTTATCTCCCATGAGATGGTGTTCACGGTATTATGCCGCGGAATCCTTGTAACTAATTTGATTAACTAAATAAAACATTGAGTTTCAAAACCAAAAGGATTCCCACCGAATACTAGTAAGTGCATCGTCATTGTTACTCTCGCGCTGGAAATTTTTCGCAACACTAATTAAAATAGAAAATCCTGATCTAGCAACATCACTAAAGGGGAGCTTTAAATTATGCTTGAAGAGCAAATATTGAAAAGCAAAATTGAGCAAATATGACCCAAACATTCGTCCACTGCTAATATCAGCTGGCAACGGAGGTTCTTAGGCCCCCTGGACTTGCGCCCGACGCTACATACCACCCACCCCGCCTGTTAAGGCTCTAGGCCCAGGCAGGGTGCACCCCTTCGCTAAGAGCGCTACCCACCCATCGAACACGTTGCATCCAACGTGTCCGAGTGGTGGACGCCCATAGTATAGGCAAAAGGACTTTAAGACAGCTTAGCGTATGGGATGCAACATACTTAAATGTTCCGTACTCTATGGCTGTGCCTGAAAAGGCCTAGTAATGCATGGTTTTATCTCCCATGAGGTGGTGTTCACGGTCTTATGCCGCGGAATCCTTGTAACTAATTTTATCAAATAAAAACCAAAAGGATTCCCACCGAATACTAGTCAGTGTATAGTCATATTAACTCTCGCGCCGGAAATTTTTCGCAACACTACTTAAACTTGAAAATTCTAACGGGGTAATATTTACTCTCGCGTTGAAAATTTTTCGCAACACTACTTAAACTTGAAAATCTTAACGGGGTAATATTTACTCTCTAGTTGAAAATTTATCGCAACACTACTTGAACTTGAAAATCTTAACGGGGTAATATTTACTCTCGCGTTGAAAATTTTTCGCAACACTACTTAAACTTGAAAATCCTAACGTAGTATTATTTCACT